TTTATTTGTAAAAAATTATTTTTTTAAAATAATATACAATAAAAAATGTACTCTTTAATCTTCGTAAACCGCATTGCTTTAAAATCTTACGCTCGCAACAAAAATACTCTTAAATCAGAATTAAAATGTATTTCACATTCAATATGTTAATTTTCCTATAATGCCACCACACGGTATAGAATAAGCGATGCTATTGATAAGACAGAGGTAGAATAGTGCGTGTCAGTCCACTAGTGGTAGAGGTGTATCCATCCAGTTAGCCAATTCACGAGATCCTCTTGATTTCTCTCAATTTTAATTATAATTAATCGTCTCATATTTATTTCGGAAGATCAATGGGTTAACATACTGTATATGCATAATACAAGATAGGAACAAAAATGGGAATTTAAAAGGTAGCGAAATCAATCCGACACAAATCATTTCAATCACCTAAACTTTATTCACATAAATACCACAAATATAAATAACTTTTTACAATATAAAAAAAATAGAAATTGCCTAAAAAATATTGTAAAAAAAATTCTCGATTAAAATTTTCATTTTTTGGGGTCAAGTCATAATTTCAGTTTTGAGAAATTAAGTATTTTTCTTCAGAGTAAAGTATCTTTTATATTGAAGATATGATCAAAAGTTATTAAGAAAAGTTGTTTAAAATCACCATCTAGCTCTATATACCAATTTTGAAAATTATCTGCAACTATGATTTTTCTTTAATTTGTCAAGAAGTAGCTTTTCGGTAAGAGATATGTCAAAAATTAATTTAGAAAAGTTGTTTGAAACTAAAAATCAAAAAATTGTCTCTCTTTATAATGCTGAGTCAATTTAGCCTCGTCTAGATTGTACGGTAATGTAGGTTTTAAAAAGATCTCGTGATGATTTGCTTTTAATCCTGATCGGATTGAAAATGCCACGATGCATTAGATTGATTTTTAAATTTCCATCAATTCGTTCCGGATTTTGCAAATCCTGCTCCATTTCAAAATAAAACTGACGGTATTTAGATTATTATTAATTGATTATTTTTTAATAAACATAAGTATTTAAGAAGAGTATCTCGCAATCGACTTCAAAATTTAATTTTCCCAAATTCTTACCTGAATCAATTTTTCAGGGGTCCTGCAGGGATATGATTTAAAACCATTATTTTTATTATTTGTATAAACGATATAAATTTATGTAACATTATTAGTTAAAAAAAAAACTTTTATTTACTGATTATTTAAAAATGTTTTAGACAAAATTGAGCCAAACAGAAAAAAATTGAATTATATAAAAAGACGTATGTTCTAGAAATATCTAATTACAACGGCTTAACACATAACTGAAACGCAGGATGTTTTATTTGAATAGAAATAGAAGTTTTTCTCTTATTGATTAAAGCAAAATTAACGGGTTTTTGCGAAATCTTGGTTTTTAATTTAAACTAATAATATTTTAAATATTTGTCATAAATAAACTAGAGAGAAGCAATTTAAAATACCCAGTATTTTATACTTATATTTTAAATTAAAATGTTTCTTAATTTTGCGTATTTGAAGAAGCTCGTTTTGACTACATTATGACCGTTATATAGAATCCTGATCAATTTTATTCATTCAAACGTTTTATTCCAACTTGGAACACATTTTCCCCATGGGCACAGATGGGGCAAAAAATTTACCCTTTCTAAAAAAATCTGATGTGTCCAACACATGACTTTCCTGTCTAGTTATTACAGGCTTCTTCCGATTATTTTGTACAACCTATTGTATCACCCTTTTAAATGTTTAGTGGATGAACTAAATATTTACATTTTCCATCCACATCTTACTAGAAACATTTTTTTATATATATTCATTGCCAACTAAAAAATTAAATTTTACACTTTTCCTTAAAATTTTTCCATATCCATTCCGGAGAGGATGGCATTTTTCCTGCCCTTTTGCAAAAAGGACAGAAACTCCTGCTACCCCTCTTTGTGAGGCTGTTTAGAGCAAGCCTAGCGTGGAGCTATATCCCGCTAGGATGGACGATGGCAAAAGTCGTGTATATACGCAAGGCTGGTAGAGTAGATACCTCCCTACCAAACTCTTATCGTCCAATCTGCCTAACATCCTTTCTTCTAAAATCACTAGAGAGGATTCTAGATAGGCATATTAGAGAAGAAGCCCGTTAAACTCCTCCCAATGTGCCTACTAAGCAGGCAAATCGACAGATCATGCCCTGCACAATCTAGTAGGCAAAATCGGCAATTCCCTAAATCAAGGGGAGATTGCGCTAGGTGCCTTCCTAGATATAGAAGGCGCATTCAACAACGCCCTTCCTCAGTCTTTGTCCTATTGAAAGAAGAGGAATTGGATTAAAAGCATTATGGCAAAGCGGAACATCACTTCATCACTGCAGGGAGAGACTGTCACTTTTAGGCCTGCCAGAGGATGTCCACAAGGCGGCGTACTTTCACCCCTACTGTGGACTATTCTGGTGGATAACCTGCTAGACGATCTTTCCCGGCAGGGGGTGGATTTCCAATGATATGTGGACGATATGGTTATCATAATTAGGTGATCTCCAACATCCTTCAACAAGCCCTTAATTCGATCAACAGATGATGCGAGAGGGAGCAGATGTCTGTTAACCCCCGCAAAACTGTTATTGTCTCCTTCATCAAGAGAAGAAAGCTCGACAAGCTTCGACAACCTACCTTGGCTGGGGAAACAATTCCTTTTGCGAATTTGATGACATATTAATAAACCTAGGCTCTCTGGCCACGATCTTCCAAGCAGAAATGATTGCTATAGAATTGGGAGCGAGAGAGTTAATTAATTTTCTCCCCGCAAATAAGACTATGAAGATCTTTTCAGATAGCCAGGCAGCCCTTAAGGCCCTGAGCTCCAATCGAGTTGACTCAACGCTGGTTTGGAACTGTATAAATCTGTACCATCTGTGAATAAGTAGGTAAGTCAAACATTGAAGTTTTTCAGTATGGCCATTTTAAACAACATTTTGATGTTTTCGAAAAACAAATTTTAAGTTGAATTTCGTTTTTTTGAAATAGGTTGTTAATTATACAACCAACCATGTAAATAATTATGACCTGTGAAATTATATTACTTAATGGAAAAAATCTGACTTGCCTATTTATTGACTTCAAATGTGTGTGTTGTTGAGTTACTGACTTATTCTACTATAAATCAACAGGACATTTTTTTTTTAATATTTTTATTTATTCATGAAAAAAGCAAAGTAAACTTATTTCAAATAAACATTTTGTTTGGAAAAGAAAACTAAAAAACGACTGATCATTTGGATAAACCTCTTCCAAATCCGGGGATGGCTGTAGTTACCGGTTTTGGCACAAAAAATTGGAGAAATCCAACTATTCACGGCGTCCTCTGAAGTAAACTCATGGAGGAAGCTATTGCGAATTTGAATCACCCATTTATTCACCAAACAGAATGGGAAGAGCCCTTTAGATATATGTAGATATCCTATTTTTACTAAAATTTGACTTATCCACTTATTCACGGATGGTACAGAAATATCCTTGAATGTCTCGGTGCTGGGAACAAAGTTACTTTGATCTGGGTTCCGGGACACAGTGGTGTGGAGGGCAACGTAAAAGCCGACGAGCCTGCTAAAAGAACAGAATCTGTGTTCATAGGACCAGAACCATTCGTAGGCATTGCAAAGAGCACTGCCAAAGGAATTATCTCAAAATGGACGGAGGGTGCAACGCTTACGAACTGGTGTTTTTTTTTTCTCTTTATCTGTTTTTGAATTGTCTTCAAAATTCGAAATTTTAACTTTTCCTTAAATATATCGAATACTGTCCATTTTAAAGAAATTATATATGTGACAAGTGATAAATATTACAAGCAACTTGTAATTAAAGCATTATCTTCTTCAAGTGTAAATAACAGATATATTCCGACTATGACCAAAATCTAATCAGCTCACAGGAGATCAGATTAAAGTTTAAGTTTAAAATTTTGTGTTTTCTCTTTAACATAAATATCCGATGAAACTCGAGGTAGAAAAAAATTAATTCCTATACTTTCCTAGTATGTACAAAGACAGAAAATTAATTAAAATGGCAATTTTTTTAAATGGGTTTATGTTTTAAAAAATGTACCAACTCTACAAATTTTGCCAATTTTTTAAAATCAATTGTTTGTTGTATTTCAGCAAATAATTTTTGAGTGTCAGCTCTAAACTGACTTTTTTACATATTTGCTGAAATCTTGAAACTTATGTAGTCACCTACAAAATACAATTTGAAAATGAATATTTGACTAGTATTTTACTTTCAGCCCACGTGTTAAAAGTACATACTTAGTATGTACTCGTAATAATCAACCTTACCACTTCAATTTTATTGTCAAAAAACGATATTTGTGGAAGGGTTAAAGTGACCATTCGTCCCGATTTTAAACCACTAGTCCCGATTTAATGTGTCCCGATTTTGTCCCGCTTTTGTCCGATGATAAATTGTACATATTTCATTTAAGCTTCCTAAAAATACATTTATGGTGACGTGACAACGCACTCTATTAAATATTTCTTTTTTTGCTCCTTAATAAACCAAACCGTCAATACTGCAAATATAATTCGTCATATCCATATTTTGGAAATTTGTCCCACTTTCTACTTTTCAAAATATGGTCACTTTAGGAAAGATTGAAGTCTATAACAGTTTACTAAAACTGTCATACTTTTAAAATAAGTTCAAGCTCAAAGCTTAAAGAGCTAAATAACGTCTATTCTATTCTGAATCCAGAAAATAATTTAGGTACTTTTTTAAAAAACAAAATTAGCTTTACAACGCCATAAACTCAATATCCTTTTCGAAAACTATCCTTTGCATCGGCACAAGTCAATTCTAATTCAAATTAAAAGCTGCAGGCCAGCAACAGCTATAGAGCGACACCGCCTATACTTTTAAACTGCGCGAAAAACTAATTTATCCCCTTTTGTAACGACGAAACGTACTATAGTGAAATCTTTTTTTTTTTTTTCAGTCTCTGCTACGTACCGCCGACCAATTAAAGATCAAAGGATTGTGCGAGTCGCCGGACGACAGAGAAAATAGAGAAATCCCGCCGGAATTGGCTCTGCAGCTCAATTTCAAAGGTGGCAGGAAATCGCCTTTGCCCAAACACTTCAAGGTAAATCAATTTTATTCATTTATTGTAGCTCTTGGGAAAATCGCAATTTTAAAATCGCCGAGAAAGACTGATCCACTTCTACGCGTCAGTCTGAAATGATTTTGAGTAGTTGGATAGAGAGAATTTTGTGTATATGGTGTTAAAATTTCTGTTATATTCAACCCCTAGCTATATTTTTTCAAATTGCACCTTTAGAATACATTTGCTAGTATACTTTTGTTTATATTGTTTAGTACTTACCTTTTCTTAATCAATATCTTTGCTATTCATTGCCATAAACTCTTCTATTCCTGCAATCATTTTCATTTCGTCATTTTTATAAGCTTTGTCGATTTTTATAAATTCTTTCTTTTTTATACGTTCTGCCGATTTATATAAGTTCTTTGGGATTGGTCTCTTTTTTTATAAGTTCTGTCGATTTTTATTAATTCTGTATTGTTATAAATTCCGCCAAATTTTTTATGACTTCTGTATTTTTTATAATTTTTTATTATTTGTCTTGTGAGTTCTGTCGATTTTTATAAATTCGGTCCACTTTTTTAGGTTTTGTATTTTTTATAAGTTCCGTTTTTTTAGCATGTAATTTTTTATCATTTCTGTCGTTTCAATTGCTGCAATTCTTTGTACTATGACTTTCTTGATATGTCTGAGTTCCTTTACCTATTAATTCATTTTTTTAAACGTTCTGGATAGTACTTAAGTAAGTTAAGTTCTGTCGATTTGTATAAATTCTGTATTGTTATAAGTTCCGGCAAATGTTTTAGGATTTCTGTATTTTTATAAGTTCAGTCAATTTTTTATTATTTGTCTTCTTGTGAGTTCTGTCGATTTTTATAAATTCTGTCCACTTTTTTATGTTTTGTATTTTTTATAAGTTCCTTTTTTTATCATCTAATTTTTTATCATTTCTGTCGTTTCTATTGCTGCAATTCTTTGTACTTTGTACTTTCTTGATATGTCTGAGTTCCTTTACCTATTAATTCGTTTTTTTTTAACGTACTTGATAGAACTTAAGTAAGTTTTGTCGATTTTTATAGATTCTGTCTTTTTATACGTTCTGTCGATTTTTATAAGTTCTGTTATTTTTTTTGGGATTGGTCCTTTTTTTATAAGTTCTGTCAATTTTTTATTATTTGTCTTCTTGTGAGCTCTGTCGATTTTTATCAATTCTGTCCACTTTTTTATGTTTTGTATTTTTAAATTCCGTTTTTTTATCATTTCTATCGTTTCTATTGCTGCAATTTTTTTAGCCTGACTCTGTATGCCTGAGTTCTTCTAATTATTTATTCATTTTCTTAAAGACGGTCTCGATAGTTCTTAAGTCTTACCCTGGTGGGCGTTAATACTTAAAGAAGGAATAATTTCTAATTTGTTACTATTTTATTTCAGTCTCAAGATAGCGGTCCCCCGAAATCAAAATACCCCCAAACTCAGTCACCCACCAAACGAAAAGCGTCCCGCGAATGAAATTATCGAAGGAGAAATCAAAGTCGCCGCTGAGACAGGAGGAGAAGGAAAATCGAATGAAGAAACAGAAGAAAATGACATGCCAGTAGCTTTGGAAGAGCCGACAAGGAAGAGGCCGCAGCCCGAGCAAACAAAACCGCTAAACATGAGCAGCCATGGCCTACTATCGGGACAGGTAAGCAACCGACTTTCTGGTCTGGTCATTTTTTTATAAGATTCTCAATTTTATGGGCTGTCATTTTTTATATCTCGATTTTTATAAGTTCTGTTGATTTTTATAAATTCTGTCATTTTTTAATTTCTTTTTTTATAAGTTTCTTCAATTGTTTATGAATTCTGTATTTATAAATCCTCCCATTGTGTCTCATCTGTCGATTTTTTTTTATAATTTTGGTATTTTTTCTACATCTGTCAATTTAGTTCTCTATTTTTATAAGTTCTGTATATTTTAGAAAATCCTGACATTATTATGGCCTTTTTATAAGTTATGTCGATTTTTAGTTCTATCGATATTCAGTTCTGTAATTTTTTTTAAATTTCTATTATAAGTTCTGCTTTTTTGAAAAATTGTATTTTTTTATAATTTATATCTTTTTATAAGTTCTGTCAATTTCGAAGGTTTTAAAAAGGCTTTCAAATGTTTTATCATTATCGTCTTTTTTATGTCTGTAATTTTTAAGCATTTCTATCTTTTTAGGTTCTATCGATTTTTTAAGTTCCTTTTTTTTTCAAGTTGTCTTTTTTAGTAAATTCTGTCTTTTTACGTCTCTTAATTTTTTACCATTTCTGCATTTTTTATAAGTTCTGTCGATGTTTAAAAATTCCGTCTTGTATTTTTTATAAGTTGTCATTTTTTAATCATATCTGCCTTTTTATATCTCTCTATTTTTTAGAAGTTCTCTTTTTTGTAATATCTATATTTTTTTGTCGTTACTGTCAGTTTTTAATCGTTTTTCTTTTTTTTTAAATTCTGTCTATTTTTGTTCATAAGTTCTGTCAATTTTTTTCAAAGGTTTTATCATTATCGTCTTTTTTTAGAAGTCTGTAATTTTTTAGCGTTTCTATCTTTTTAGATTCTATCGATTTTTATAAGTTCCAGTTTTTTCAAGTTGTCTTTTTTTTTCTTAAATTCTGCCTTTTTTGAAATCATTTCTGTCTTTCAATTTTTTACCATTTCTGTATTTTATGAGTTCTGCCGATTTTTAAAAATTCCTTCTTTTTGTATTTTTAAGTTCTGTAATTTTTTTTAACATTTCTGCCTTTTTATAAGTTCTCTATTTTTTTAGAAGTTCTCTTTTTGTAATATCTATATTTTTTGTCGTTACTGCCAGTTTTTTATAATTTTTCTCTTTTTTCTAAATTCTGTCCATTTTTATTTATAAGTTCTGTCAATTTTTTATAAGCTCTGTAAATTTTTTATGTTCTCTATTTTTTAGTTCTGTCTTTCTTATAATTTGTTAGGTAAATACTCCAAAGGTTTTGTAAGGTTTCGAATGATTATAACTTTGTCCACTAGTTTATAAAAGTAATATCAGTCTCATACATTTTGATGAACGTTCTGTATGTCTTATTTGTGTGCTATTGTCAACAGACAATATTCTCCCACTTCGGTGTCGACACTGATGACTTCCCGCCCGAACCGCCGGCACCATCGGCGATTCCCGTCGGTCACATGGATATGTCGTCGGCCGCGGCCGACCATTCCCCCACTAGAACCATCCTCACCGGTCCCATGCACCGCACGGACATCTCCGACTCCACCAAGTACACTCTCGACATCAAGAAGGAGGCCGACATTAAGTTCGAAACGTTGCGGTCGTACGACCAAGACAGTTTGCTCGACATGGAGAGCCATCTCTCGGGACCCGACCATTCCATGGATAGCCACGAGGACGGCGAGAGGGGCATACATCAGATGATGGGGCACGGTGACTTTAGCGGGATGCCTGGAGTTTCTAGTAGATTAGGTAAGTTGGATAACTCGTTTTTTCTTTAACGGAACAATTGGAATAATATATTTCTTACAGATTTAAATAGCGACGACCAAGTACCTGGAATCAAAAATAACGGCCATACCGACAATTTACCGCCACGAGGCCACAGTGGTGGTGGACCAAAAACTTGGACTCAGGAAGACATGGATATGGCGTTAGATGCCTTAAGAAACCACAATATGAGCCTAACAAAGGTAAATATATCACAAACCAACAGTTCCTTTACAAGTATCCACGAAATACACTTTAGCTTTACTATTTATTTATTGTTCTAGGCATCAGCAACTTACGGTATTCCCTCCACTACATTATGGCAAAGAGCACATAGACTAGGAATAGATACTCCCAAAAAAGAAGGACCTACCAAATCTTGGACTGAAGAAAATTTAAATAACGCTCTTGAAGCATTAAGAACCGGCACGATATCTGCCAATAAGGCTAGCAAAGCATTCGGTAAGCGTCAGCTGTTCTTAATGTCAAAAGTCACTTGTCAGAACTGTCTTTAATATCACGTCACTTGTGAAGACTTATTAATGCTATTTTTTGTATAATTTCTGTCCTGTTTATAAGTTCTGTCAATTTTTTATCGATTTTTAATAAATTCTGTATTTTGAACATTTCTGTCTTTTTTATATAAGTTCTGTCATGTTTATAAGTTCCGTCGAATTTTATAAATTCTGTAATTTTTTATCATTTTTTTTATTTAAGTTGTGTAATTTTTTTTTATCATTTCGTTCTTTTTGTAAGTTCTGTCGATTTTAGAAGTTATGTATTTTTTTTTCTTTTTTTGTATATTGTTATTTTTTATCGTGTTTTTTTTTTATAAATGCTGTCAATTGTTTTACCACTTTTGTTTTTAAATTCTGTCCATTTTTAAAAATTCTATCATTGTTTTATCGTTTTTGTCAAAAGTCACTTGTCAGAATTGTCATCCATGTCACTTGTCAAGACTGTTATTAATGCCATATATTGAATTATTTTCAGGAATTCCAAGTAGCACGTTGTACAAAATAGCGAGAAGAGAAGGAATAAGACTGGCGGCGCCCTTCAACGCGGCCCCCACCACGTGGACTCCGGAAGATTTGGAGAAAGCTCTGGAGTCGATTAGGACGGGACAAACTTCAGTACAAAAAGCTTCTACAGAATTCGGCATTCCGACAGGGACGTTGTACGGCAGGTGTAAGAGGGAGGGTATCGAATTGTCGAGGTCGAACCCAACTCCTTGGTCGGAAGACGCCATGGGAGAAGCGCTCGAGGCTGTTAGGTAAGTCGGAGGTGATAATTTGTAACGGCTTTATTTTTGAGGTTAGGAATATTCAATTGATACAAATTCATTCAACCTATTTTAATTATTATTATTATTAAATACACTTGCGTGCATAGAAATCTGCACACTGTAAACTTTTGACTTTAACTATATTTTTTTTTAAATTATTCATGAGTTTAAAAAAAATATGCTGTTTGAAAGACAACTAATAATTAATTAATAACAGTAATGTTGTTTAATAATAAAAAAAAATATATAGTTAAAGTCAAAAGTTTACAGTGGGCCGATTTCTATGCACCCAAGTATATTAAGTAAATTAATGACTTTCTTCATTTAAAAATAAAAATATTTGTCTAACCATTTGTCCGACTCAGGTCCCGATTTATCAGTTAGAAAAATTATTCGATTTTTATAAATTTTGTAATTTTTTCATCATTTCTCTCTGTTTCAAGTTCTGTCGCTCTTTTAAGTTCGGTCCCTTTTTTATAACTCCTGTATTTTTCATAAGTTTTGTCGTTTTATACATTTTATCGATTTTATAAGTTCTGTCAGTTTTGTATCACTTTTGCTCTTTTTATAAATTTTATGGATTTTTATAAGTTCTCTCAATTTTTTGTTCTGTCTTTTATGGTAAATTCTATCTTTTTTTTTTTTGAGTAATTTCTTTTTATACGTTCTCTCAATTTTGCACCATTTCTGTATTTTTATAAGTTCTGTCGATTTTTATGTTTATCCAATTTTTAAAAATTACGTATTTTTTGTCCTGTTTTATAAATTCTGTCAATTTTTATTAGATCTGCCAATTTCGGACGTTTTTGCAATGAAGTAAATGAATAACGTTCTTGATTATAAAATATTTTCCTAACCTATTTGCGTGACGTAAGTCCCAATTTATCAGTTAAAAAAATTCTTCGATTTTTATAAATTTAATTATTATTTTTTTCATTTCTGTCGCTTTTATAAGTTCTGTGCATATTTTTATAACCCCTGTATTTTTTATGAGTTGTAGATTTTTATAAGTTGTCATTTTTTTAGCATGTATCTTTTTGTTTTGTCGATTTTTAAATGTTCTCTCAATTTTTTATCAGTTCTGTCTTTTTATATGTTGCGTTTTTTATAAGTTCTGTAGATTCTTGTTTCTTAATATTTTTTTTTTATAAATTTTTTTCGATTTTTATGAGCTGTAAGTTGTCATTTTTTTAGCATGTATCTTTTTGTTTTGTCGATTTTTAAATGTTCTCTCAATTTTTTATCAGTTCTGTCTTTTTATAAATTTTATCGATTTTTATAAGTTCACTCAGTTTTTTTTTTAGTTCTATCTTATGGTAAATTTTGTTGTTTTTGGAGTAATTTCTTTCTTTAATTTTTTTACCATTTCTTTCGATTTTTGTTTTCTATCTATAAATTTTGTCAATTTTGATAAGTTCTGACAATTTTGGACGTTTTTATAATTTCTTTAAATTTTTATAAGTGCTGTAAAATATTATCATCATTATCATCTTCTTTTTAAGTTGTCTTATTTTTTCAGTTGTTTTTTTTTTGGTAAATTCTGTCTATTTGGACTCATTTGTCTAAAAAGATATTCTTTCGATTTAATTACGGTTTCTGTTTTTAAGATTTTTAATTTTTTTTCTTATTATTTTTATAAAGTCTGTTGATTTTTATTTTCTATAAGTTCTGTAGATTTATATAAGTTTTTTTGATATTTATGAATTCTGTTTTTTATCTATTTTTACTTATTTAAAATTTTATCCATTTTTTATAAATTCCGTCAATTTCAATTTTTGGTAAATTTATCATGTTTTTTTGGTGTAATTTCTGTCTTTTTATATGTTGTGTTTTTTATAAGTTCTGTAGATTCTTGTTTCTTAATATTTTTTTTTATAAATTTTTTTCGATTTTTATGAGCTGTAATTTTTAAGTAAATTCTGTAATTTTTTATCTTCTTTCTTGGAATAATTTTTGTCTTGTTATACAGGGTCATTCTATATGGGCGGAACACTTGATTTATGGCTTAACTATGACTTGTACGATAATTTGACTTTGATAAAAGTTTTTGTACATTTTATGTACTATTTATTGACGTTTACAGATTTCCCGCATACGTAATGGTTTTCAAGATATGACGTCATCGGGCAATATTTAAATGGATCACCCTGTATTTATATTTTTTTCGAGTTCGTATGATCTGTCTGAATTCATCAATGGTACATTAAGTGGGTCCCAGACTTACGGTCTTATAATAACAATTAAATTAGATTATACTTTAATAAGACACATTTATAGACTGTTTTGAATAGATTCAGTAGTTATTGCTTAAGTTGCCGCTCTGATTCGATCTTCCAGAGATTGAGGTAGATCCTTATAAACTACAGATTTTAAGTGACCCCAAAGAAAAAAATCCAGTGAAGTTAAATCTGGTGACCTTGCCGGCCATTCAATATATCCTCTTCGGCCTATCCATCTTTGCGGAAATAACCCTAACATCGAAATGAGGTGGGGCGCCATCTTGCTGGAACCATATTTCTTCTGACAATTGTAAATGATTAACAGGGTTGGGAAATATACGGATTAATTCTTGAACTATTTGTTCTCGCAGAAGTTGTAAATAGCGATCACCATTTAAAGTTTGTCTCAGAAAAAAAGGTCCAATTATTCTTCCTGCAACTATACTAGCCCAAACGTTTAGCTTTTGTGGATATTGTGTGTGACCTTCTATCATCCAGTGTCGATTCTGATCAGACCAATACCGGCAATTATGCCGATTCACAAATCCGTTTAGACAAAACGTTGATTCGTCGGAAAACACAATATTATTCATAATATTGTTCCCATTAATTCGATCCATCATTTCTTGGCAAAACTGCATTCGTCGATCAGGATCATCTTCATTTAATTCTTGATGTAATTGAACTTTATACGGATGAAAATGATTTTTTATCAGTATCCTTCTTACAGAACTCTGGCTAATATCATTATTTAATGCAAGTTTTGCTATGGAAGTTTTAGGTTCTTCATGAACATTTAGAAGTACATCAAGTGATTTCTCCTCATTTGTAGCTGTCCTCTTTCGTCCACTACCAGGAATATTTTTGACACTACCTGTTTCATTAAACTTGCGTAAATTTCGATACACTGTCGACTTAGAAATTAGAGACATTCTGTAAGGAAATGTAGCATTAAACAAATCGGCAGCTTCTTGTAAACCTCTCTTTCTATCTCCAAAACCAACCATCATCAACAGTGTAATTTTTTCACGTTCACTTAGTTCCATTGTTAATAATAATAATCAAATACTTAATCTGTACACTAAAGATATTTGTATTTACTGTGATTAGACGTTAAGATTTTTTGTTAATAGATCATGATATTGCCAGGAAACCAAAAAAAAATATATAAATACAGGGTGATCCATTTAAAATGTGTCTTATTAAAGTATAATCTAATTTAATTGTTATTGATCAGACCGTAAGTCTGGGACCCACTTAATGTACCATTGATGAAATCAGACAGATCATACGAACTCGAAAAAAATATATAAATACAGGGTGATCCATTTAAAATATTGCCCGATGACGTCATATCTTGAAAATCATTACGTATGCGGGAAATCTGTAAACGTTAGTAAATAGAATATAAAATGTACAAAAACTTTTATCTAAGTCAAATTATCGTCATAGTTAAGCCATAAATCAAGTGTTCCGCCCATATAGAATGACCCTGTATATGTTCTGTCAATTTTTTTATCAATTCTGCGTTTTTATAAATTTGTTAATTTTTGTAAGTTATGTCAATTTCGGACGTTTTTTAAAATTTATTTCGATTTTTATAAGTTCTGTCAAATGTTTTTATCATTATCGCCTTATTTGTAAGTTCTGTAGATTTTTAGAAGTTGTCATTTTTGTATCATTTTCATTTTTTATGTTTTGTCGATTTTTATAAGTACTGTCAATTTTTGTCTTTTTGGTAAATTCTGTCTTTTTTTTGGAATAGTTTCTTTCTTTTTATACGTTCTTTCAATTTTTACCACCTCTGTGTTTATAAGTTCTGTAGATTTTTAGAAATTACGTAATTTTTGTCTTTTTTATAAATTTTGTCAATTTCAGACGTTTTTTATTTCTTTCAATTTTTATAAGTTCTGTCGAATGTATTTATCATCATCTTTTTGTATTAGTTTTTAGCTTATTTATCTTTTTATGGTCGTTTTTTTATCAGTTTTGTCTATAAATTTTATCGATTTTTATGTGTCATTTTTTTAAGTTGTCTTTTTGGAATAATTTCTGTCTTTGTTATACGTTTTTTTCAATTTTTTACCATTTCTTTGCTTTTCATAAATTGTATCTATTTTTAAAAAAATTTTTTGCTGAATGTTCTGTCAATTTTTTTTAATAATTTTTGTCTTTTATTATTAATCCTGTAGATTTTTATAAATGTTTTTCTTTTATTTTTGGAAATTCTGTCTTTTATAAGTTTTTTTATAATTTCTCTAAGTTATGTAATTTTTTATGATTTTATTATAAATTTTGTCGATTCTGTCTTTTTGGTAAATTCTATCATATTTTATCATTTGTCTTTTTTTGAAGTAATTTACATGTTCTGTAATTTTTTATCAATTCTGTGTTTTTATAAGTTCTCTCTATTTTTAAACATTTTTTTTTTTATAAATTCCGGTGCCTTTTTTAATTGTTTTTTTTTAATCCTGCTTTTCTATAAATGTTTTGTCTTTTTATAAGTTCTGTCATTTTTTTATCATTTTATCTTTTTTATAAGTTCTGTCGATTTTTTACGTTCCTTCAATTATCTAGTTCCATACACTGCTTTATTTTTGAGGTTAGGAATATTTGATTGATGCAAAGAATACTTTATAAAGATATTCATTTACAAAATTAAACCATTTTAATTATTATTCCAGTTAAGTAAAAAAATAACATACATTTTTAAAAATTCCCGATTTATCAGTTAAAAAAATAACTCAGTTAAAAAAAGAACCAATTTCAGCTTTCAGAGACGTTTCTATTTATCGACAGTCAATCGCATTTTGCAGGTTAGGACACATGTCCATCAACCAAGCGGCCATCCACTACAACCTGCCTTACTCGTCGCTGTACGGCCGCTTCAAGCGCGGCATCAAATACGATCCGGACCAAGTGGACCTGAACCAGGACAGCCAGCTGCAGATGGATCACACGTTCGGCATGGAATACACTACCTCTCCATCTCAGATCCAATACCAAAATCAAAATAGCTGAGATACGGCCTTCAACTTTGATTGCTTTTGAGAATTAGATTCGACGTAAACGAAAGTTTTGGGGTATCGTATAGGAATGGGCGAATTGGAAGTTTTCAATCAAATTAACCGTTTTGGTGGTGAAATAGTTGACGTTTAGTCAGGGATGTCATACGTCGGAAATGTCAACTGACGTACGCCAATTGAGTCAAATGTCAAGAGTGTCAAAATTGCGTTAAATTTGAGTCTTAATCTTGCATGCGGTAGAGAGCAAGAGCGAAAGTATTTGTCATTGTTCTTCTGTCTTTTTTATGCTAATATTTTTTATTAAGATATTTACAGGTAAATATAATTAATACCACTATATTAGTTTAGAGAATGAGAAATCATAAATCAATAGTGACGTAAGATAGGGAGAGGTGAGGAGAATGTCGATGTTGTTTTTTTAAAATTTTGACTTTATTTTTCGAAATGTTGACTTTTTAAAATATTTTTGTTTATGGAACTAATACGCGGGCGTATATTTAAATGTTTTTTTCTTTCTGTTTTCGATTCCTTTACTTTTTTTTAATTTTTACTTTATAGTCTTAAAATTTTGATTTTTCTCAAATTCTTGACTTTTTAAAATATTTTTTTTGGCACCAAAACTATCGTAGATTTGACAGCGTTATTTTGGCCATTAAGCTAGAAATTTAAGCGCATATTAATTATTATTGTTGCTCTTTACCGTGTGTCTTACCGTAGAGTGCCAACTTTTAAAATCGGGTGATCCACAACGATTTTAAGCCAAAGCTTATACTTCTATTTCTATACAGATTCCCCTATTTTGAGTATTAAAAAAAAGCGATCAAAGTGTGAAGGAAGTTTTTCTAATAAAAAAAAAGTTTTAAAAAATTACCGTAACTAGGCTGTTGTGCTAAAATTAAACTAATAATATTGTAAAGTTTTACCATTATTTTTAATGAAGGGTTAGAATAAATTTTGCCTTGTCTGACAGTTTATTACAAAAAAAGTGCAATATTACTTCTATTTAATATTGAAACTATAGGGACTAGTTGTACAGGTTAGTTGCATATTGTAGTTAATTTATTGAGCGACATAGAGTCAATCGAAAATTAGTTTAAAAGTCGGACGTCCGGCAAAATTGCACTTTTTTTGAAACCAAATTACTTTTTAGTGATAATTGGAAGTTTTTTAAACGTAACTAATTTTTGATTGACGCTGTCTCTTGTTGCAAATATATAGTGTATTAATCGGTTGTAAATATGATTTTATTTAGTTATAATTTGTATTAAAAAGAAAAAGTCTGTTGCTCATTTTTAATTTCGTTGACTGTAAAAAAAATCATGTACTGATGAAAAAATGTGTTTTTTGTTGCTTTTTGTTTCGAAAAAATAAATAATGTATAATTTTAAATGTTGTATTTTAATTCCCGCTTTGCTCTATGAAAAAAAAAACCGATCTCGAATTTTTTAATTGAAATAAGAAATGAGGTACGAATTATACACGGCCAAAAAAAAAAGTTGGGACTGGTTAACCATGAATAAAGAATTTAAATAGGGTGTAATAAATAGGGTTGCCAGATTTCCAACAGACACATCGGAGATCTTAGAAATAATAAATAATCTAAAAAATAAAAAATCTCCAGGTTTGGATGAAATTCGTGCCAGAGACTTTAAAACAAATTGCTTACAAAATTGTTGAACCACTGACATTTCTAATAAATAAATGTTTAGATAGATGTTTTCCAAAGATTTTAAAATGTACTATTTAAAAATGGAAATAAAAATGAATTAGGAAATTATCGACCAATATCGCTGTTATCAACTATTTAAAAAATAATTGAAAAAATTTTAAAAATACGCCTTTGCAAATTTCTAAACAAATTTCGTATATTATCCGATCGTCAATTTGGTTTCAGGAAGGGTCGATCAACTGAGGATGCCATTTATAAACTAACATCAACAATTTATGACTCTTAGGATAAAAAAGTACCCATTTTATGTATATTTCTAGATCTCTCCAAAGCCTTCAACACTGTGTGTCATGTGAAATTATTAGAAAAGTTGCAAAAGTATGGAGTTAGGGGTAAATCATGTAACATCTTTGAAAGTTATTTATCAAATAAACAGCAGCTCGTTCAAATTGGAGATATTAGAAGTGATTCACAAACAGTAACTGTTGAAGTTCCTCAGGGAACCGTGTTAGGCCCGATACTTTTTCTGTATACATAAATAGCCTTCTCAATTTGGAATCACTTGACCAAATTTTTAGCTTCGCGGGTGATACGGCTGTCATATACACTTGGGATAACCTAAAACAAAAAGTTGAAAGTGACTATAGCAAATTGGCTTAAATATAATAAACTTACAATAAACTATACAAAAACAAACTACTTACCGTGTAACTCCTTGTACAAGGAATTAAAAGATTTTGATTTAAGGTAGTTCACTCGCGACAGTCGTACACAAAAATATCGCCCTATAGTGAATACCAACCGTTCGAGATTCTTAAATCTAAAGAAAGGTTATTTTTGTAACAGACTGTACACACAACACATATGTGATCCTATATACAAATATGGTATTATATCGCGTAAAATCCATCCGGCAACGTCGGAAATATATTGTGAAACGCCAACTGTATTCCCAAAGTAAAATAAATGTAAATATCAAAATGTTTCATTGTCAGGATCAATTAATTGCGAGATAAAGGAAAATTTGTTAAGCAGAACGTCCTCAACAAACGCAAAAAATCAATTTTGGCCATGAATAATGCAAAAAAATTGAGAAAAGAAACCCCAAGCTTGAAAACTAACCTGTGCATTGGTCGCATCGTGGAATTACTAGAGTTGGGAAAACATTTAAAATGTTGCTGGTGTGAAAGAGTTCTTTCTCTTGAAAATATTACAAATTAAACACGAAAGGGCCTTTATTCAATTTTAAATGTTAAATGTAATCAATGTAATATTGAAACTATAGTACCTAGGGACAAAGTTCATGCAACAAAAAGTGAAATAAGCATTCAGATGTCAACACTAAAGCAGTTCTAGGTAAATTTAAAAAAAATACATAAGTATTTGTTATGTTTATAATTTTTTATTATAATTAATATAATTTTATTTATTTAAAGGTGCTGTCCATTCAGGGTTTGGTCAAACTGCTTTAAATAAATTTCTTGCTGTCATGAACGTTCCTACGATATCATCAATACTACAGAAAATCATTACTTTTATTTGTATTTTTTTATGACTAGTAAGTTAAAATTTTAAATTACTTTATATTCATTTTTTTGTGTAACTGTATTTTATTTTGAAGGCATGTTTAAATAAAATTATATTCATCTTTTGCATATTTATTTAATTTTGAAGACATGTTTAAATACAATTAAATTTAAATTGTTAAATCATATCAACCTAAAGTATAAACAACGTCCCTTCCCGGAATGTCTCGATAAAGTGATAAACTTGACTTGTCCGCGGCAATAAAAAGGTTGGGAAGCACTGATCTAACAGACATTTGAATTTAGGGGCGTTGAGTGTATCGATTACAACGTTGCCAAGTTGTAATCACAATACGCCACTATGCGTCGACTGCTTTAAGAACATGTTTATTTTAAAAATCTATATTTCTTTATCAAAGCGGTAAAAAAATTCAGCGTTTTTTTAGAAAATTTTATAACTTCTTGATTTACATTACATTAGTTTTTAAAAAATATGGTAAGTACCGTTTTCGAGATATCTTGAAATAAATGCAATGATTGTGTACATGACAAGGCTTCAAGAGTGTTAATTATGCACATTTTACTTGTTAATATCTCGTTTTACAGACGGTCAAAAATTTTTATTTTTTTTAGGTACATAAAAGACACTTTCATTAACCTCATATTTCAATTTTATTGAATTCTTAAGAAAGGCCGTTTTACGAGTGAACTTCCTTAAGACAATTATATATTTTTTAAATTCTTCAATTTATAAAAACAAAAAAAAATGTTTTGACATCACATGAACATCAGTATAATACACGATGAGTAGAATCTGTTTATTTTCCTCGTAGTGAAAAATCTATAGGACAACGTACATGCAATTATCGCACCAAGAATGTATATTTTAGTCCCAGAAGATATACGAAATATACCATATTATATAATGTATTCAAAAAACATCTAAGAAATTGAATTCTTCAAGAAGACCGAGAAGAATTTAGTAATGTTATAAATAATTACCTATCGTAAACTAATATATTCATTATCCATACTTTTAATAACTACACTGATTTCCCGATTAATTTCTTAAAATTTGTAATTTACTCACACAACACTAGGACTTGTTCTTCTGATTACGACCTATTTCTCGATTATGTCCTCTATCTCGATTATGTCCTCTATCTCGATTACGTCCTTTCTCTCGAGTGTAACTAATTACCGATTATGACCTCTATCTCGATTACGACCTTTCTCTCGATTATAACTAATTCCCGATTATGACCCTTTTCCCAATAATTATGACCATTTCCAAGTATTACATTATATAAATAATTTAATTTTATTATTAACAAGATTTTTAACAATTTGTCTAAGATACAAAGAAACTGATCCATTGTGCTTATTCATTATTTATTAGGTTATATTATAGAATTATTTTTTGATTAAATTTTTTTAGTAATCTACCACGTACAAGCTGTCCATAACAGCTTCTGTGTAGTTCATGTTTATTTGCTTATCTTTAAATTACATTTTTTATACATTGTATTTGTTTTATGTGAATAAACAACATTATTATTTATTATTATCCGATTTTCGACCGGACAGTCCGGTTTTTCTGTTGCATGCCCAATTGAAAAAACTTTGTAAACCGGACAACAGAAAGTCCGGTTTTTTGTTGAATTCATAAAAATTCGTGTAATTCGAGAAACAATTAAAAATGTTATTGATAGAATTAAAATACATGACACTGAGGAAAGGCTATCATTCAGACTATCAGTCAAAGCAATTTACGAAAAATGTTCTAATGTTTACCAAAGAGCTCTGGCTTATAAATAGAAGTGGTGTATCCCTTTGAGAATAATAATTTCAAGATTTCAGTTGTTTAGACCTAGAAACTGGAATATTACCTATGCTGGATCAACTGATTGATTTGTGGTTAATTTATCCCTGGAAACAGGAACCCCCACCTAAAAACATGTATGAAGAACTGGCTGCATTACAAACTGTTTTCTGCACTTGAAGGAAAAACAGTGGATACGTGGTGTACATTTTTTAGGAATGAATTTGCTCAAAATAGTTCAATGTTTGCAGCATTCCTATATCCAATGCCTTTATTGAAAGGATATTTAGCATCTCTAGAAAGTGTGAAAAGTGTGAAAAGCGAACTTTGCGTTTTCTTTAATATCAATAGCAATTGCACTGTATTCGAAGATACCATATCGGCAACATATACTTGTTAAAAGCAGCGGCATCTAATACCAAATATGTTAAAATGTTGCCTAACTTTGTTGTTTTGCACTTTTATGATTTTTGTGTTCTGGATTTGACCTCATGTTATTATATTTTTTAATAAAATATATAAGTTTTTTAAGTTTTTTTTTGGAATGTGGTTGGCCGGATGTCCGGTAGCACATCTGGCAACCCTAGTAATAAACATTACAGATTCTGAATTTCATCCTACAAGTAAATCAGAAATAAAATCTTTTTTAGTATGATTTTCAATTAAATCGATATTACATAAATCAATTTCTGCTTCTAGATTTAGTCTTTAGGCATGGACTTAAAAAGTCCGACTATATTTCTCACCTTCATTTCAAGGCAGATCATATAAAAATGTATGATACAATACAAATAACGATGGTTTAACACATACATGTGTTAAGTAACATTTCGTTAATATTTCACAATTTACTCGTAAGTGTAAAGGTTTAAAGCTATAGCTCTCTGTTATTTCACATGAAATGTATCTAGCAAACCCTATCAACACTTCTTCGTTTTTTCTGATTACATAATAAAGCGAAGTAAAGATAAATTATTTGTATATAATAACAATTTTCAATAATTAAGTCAAATAGAACAATGTGTGAGCATCAACTAACAACTTGATTTCACTATAGCACTCAAGGCGACCCATCATTTCGTTCTGCCTGGGAGAGTGCAGTCGACGGTTCGCTACTACCGCCATCACTTCTCGCATCCCCCACTCTTGACTGACAATGTTCTTTACATTATATTACAATGAGTAATCACACAAAATTTGTTTGCCTGCTAACATATACATATAAGTAGGTACATGTATATAACATAATTTGTCCCAAAAATACACTTAACACCTGTGTGCGCTAAGCCATCGATAAGCAATGTTTTCGCTTGGATTGTTTGAGTAAAAAAGCTACATGAAGAAGCTTTGCTAAAACAATTGAACATGTACTTAAATCACAGCATTAATGAAGCTAATCAACAATTAAATAGAAACCCGGTTCTCGTCGTCTGATTTACATGTGGATGAACAATCTATATAACTATATATCATTGGAACTTACACTTCTAAAACGCGAGCGCCATTCTGATCATTCACTTTCTGAAACCTTATTTACTGCTTTTTGGATGGAGACTTTTGAGATAAAAAAAAAACATGAGATTGTCCTCCTTTCCCACATACTTTGATTAATATACGAGGCAAGAGAGAGGTCCGACACGCCCAACATAGGGCGCGGCCATTTTGAACCCTGTGACACAGTTTACAGCTAAAGAATCAGATCGCTCATTCTGAGTCGGTACTTTTGATCTCAATGTTTTAGTTTATACACTGTGCAACTCGGATAATACAATATATGACAACCGCCTATAATAAAACAGCAGTCTTCTGCGTATCCTGAATTTGTATCCCTGGAGTGGATGTTATTTTGGAACTTTCAACTGGTCCGAGTGAGCTAACTGATTCTTTAGCAATAAACTGTGACTTCAAAAATAATATTCACTGACACTGACAGCAGCAAGCAAAATACCAGGTGCGTTTTAATCATCCGTTTCTGCTTTCGGAATTGTCGGTTTAGTCGTTTTAACTTGTCAAATTAAAACAAGAAAACCGACAATACCGAAGCAGAAGCGGATGATTAAAACGCACCTATTAAAAATATTGCGCCAAGATGTAGCCAACACGTAATAAGGGTTCAAAATGGCGGAGTTTTCTATCTCCTTTTAAAAGGCACTCAGAAAGCTGCGCAGTGCGACCATTCTCCGTATAGTAAAAGAAAATCAAAGTATGTGGTCTGAACAAAAACAAAGTAAACAAATCCCCAATTTGACATGTGACAACGACAAGTGCTACGAGTTACCACGGTATGTCTGACGTCATCAGAGTAACCACAACGCTGTTACGAAGTATGTCGTGGTAAGCTTACAAAGAAATGCCTTAAATAAGAGACCGGTACATTATTGTACAGTCATTGCGGGAGACGACTTTATTCGAACTCGTTGTTTGAGGGTTTGCTGCGGGAATCAATTATTTTTTACGTAATATATAAAATAATCGTTTTCCGCAGCAAACCGGTAAACAAAGAGTTAGAATATAGTCGTTTCCTGCAATGGCAGCACTCTATTAATTTTCAAAAATGTCGGTTGCCGCAGTGAAAGGGTTAAATACTGGTGTAAAAGCAATTAACACTATTTTGCACAAATATTTGAAAGTCTGTAAGTATTGTTCTCGGTGGATTCCCCACAACTCAACTTTAACTCAAAAAGAAGACCGTGTCAGATGGTGCAGATCTGTACTAGATCGTTTTGTGTGCAAGATTCGCCTAATTTGGTGTACATCATAAGATGTGATGAACCATGATTATAGTGCTGTAATCCAGAAAAAAAAAGAAGTAACAGTCGTCAGTTTAGGTCTTTGAGAATAAGTTGGCTCCAACGAAAGTTGTTCGTGAAAAAACCCAAAAAAAGATGGTCGCTTTATTTGAAATTGGGTATGTTTCCAATGTAACACTGGAGGGTGGACGTACTTTTAATTCAGAATAGTACACTACAGATTGTTTGCCTCAGGTTCTCCAAAAAGTTCCCGAAAAAGAGGATGATCTTGCATCAAGATAAAGCTAGGGTCACACTGCTGCTCGAACAAATTAGTATTTCAATGCCCAAAACATAGAAATAATGGGTCATTCGCCGTATATTCCAGACCTAGCAGTCCTATCACCTAATGACGTCTTATTTCCCCGAGTAAAGGATAAATTACGGGGTGAAATGTCCTGTAAAAATGTAAACAAAAAATCTTGAGAAATACAATTAAAATTAGAAAATAAATATACATAGTTTTATTCCAAAAAGTTAATAGGTATTTTAACTTTTATTAAATGTCTTATTTAAACTTCTGTATAAATATTACCTAATTCAAACAAACTTTTAATTTATTTCATTAAAAATAATAAAATACCTTCTTACAATTTCACACACTAATATTATTCACGTGTAAAAACTATATCCAATCAGCTCCTGTACACTACTACTGGCTGGAACTCATTTTAAACCAACAGTGATACAGAGTCAATAACTATTACTCACAATCCCTACACCTACACCAAAAGTAGCAAAAACGGACGACAAAAAATATTGCAAAGGGATTTTTTTATTGTAATAGACGTCTAGAAGAATATTATTTCATTGCCAGCAAATCCATCGGTAAGCAAGTTTAGTTTGAATTTGACAGGTTACACCACATCTCCCACCACCGGGATATAGTACATGTTGTTCACCCCCCGTTCCACTTTGTGCAATCAGATAAGAAACTATTTATTCGTCCGATTAATATCGATATACATGTAATATATTTCAAGTTGGCTAACATTAGACTATAAAAGATATTTTTGGCAAAGATCTTTTATAAAATATAATAACTTTTAATTTTTATAAAATTTATTTTACAAACAAAATATTTGTTAAAAGATCGCATACACTCAGTAATTAAATATATTTTTTTGTAGGTACTTCAAAATGTTATTTTTTTCTATGGACCATTAAATTTTTTTACTATTAAAGCTCATTGTAGAAAATCCACGATAATTATAATATGAAATCTAGACATTAGAGAAATAAAGACCCTGTATTTCGGAGCTGATATTTAATTGTTATTGTTTTCTATTATTTTATATTTAAACAAACATATCGGATCGTGTCTCGCCATGAGAAATTGCTGACCATACGAAATTTAATGAATTCAATGTTAAACACCTGATGACACTACTTTTTAAAATATCTAAGTACTTCTAATTATTTTTACCAAATATGGAAAATATTTCACCAAAGAGCCCAGCTGATTTTTTCAAAGAATTTGAAAAAATAGTCAAGGGTATTATATCAAATAAAGTGATTATATTGTTTTTATTTAATGTGTTTTAGAAAATGATGTGAACAATACAGAGGAAAATTTTTTGAGAAGGTTTTTGATTGGACACCACTACGATATTTTTGCTGCCCTTAAATCAGTAAGTAGGTAATTCCTATTTTTTATACAAGAATAATAAAAAATGTAGGTGGATTAAACTTTTTTCGCATAATTTTTTTGTTAATCAGGGTTGAAATATGTCATATCAAGGGTTTGGCTGGACTAGGAAAGAGAAGGGATGCTATGAATAAGAAAATAAGTACGAAATGAATACTGGCAAATAAAACATGTAGATAATTATAGTTTTACAGTCGTGTTATTCACTTATCTAATATATTATATTACCTGCTGTGAATAATTCTTTATTTTTTCACTTATTATGTTAAAAAAATCTTAAGATACAAATATTACATCACTGCTTCTGTGGCACCAAAAAAATGGCGTGTCCATTCTCTTTCCTAGTCTGAGGGTATGAATATAACTTATTTTCAGGTTCAAAATTACGAAAGTTTCATCCATAGACATAAAGAAACATGGCTGCATCTGAAAAGATCACAAATAGAAAAAGTCATGAGCTCTCAAATCGTTGAAGTGTTAGAAAAAACCGGTCTGCAGGACCAGCTGATATTATGGATTCGGCTTGATAACTGGGATCCACAATATACAACCGCAGATGAAATTTTACAGGTATATGCAGTGTCTACCTATGTTGTCATATAAAAAATGTATTATTAATTTTATGAGTATTAAACAAAGTTATGCTCTATAAAAGAAACTCTGCATCGTGTAAAATATTAAATACAACAATACAACCTTGAGAAATCAAATTTGTCTAGTTTTATAGGTTTGTCAAAAAATGTGAAATGATATACATATCACTGTATCAATGTGCATCCTAGATTTATTACTATCAATATGTAGGAAAACATTGTTAAGGTTCTTGTAAAGAAAAATATGTAAAAAACAATAAAATCTTGTACCTATGTTATAACGTAGTTTTAAATTCCAATAAATTGTTTGATATTTTTAAAATGAAAGGTACTTTTGTTTATGAAATTTCACATTTTCTAACAAACCTAGTACGTATGGGTGTGACTAGAAAAATTTTATATCTCATCTCATAGTTGTATTTAAAGGTTTAGACTATGCAGAACTTTTTATAAATAACTTTTTTTAATTCGAAAATTGTCTAGGTTTCAGGTGTTCTCTGTGAATTGGTATACTTGAAATATAAGGACGTTAAAAATATCGATATTATTTTAGATCTAAATAATTTGTCTTTAAAACATATATACGGATTGTCACCTAAATTTGCTAAAAGGATGGTATTCTTCATGTCTGTAAGTGTCCTCGTTTTATAGAAAATAATAATTTTTATATAAGTATTTAATGTTTGGCGAATATTCTTGGACTATGAAACATTTTAAATCGCTTTCTATTTATGTAATAGTCTGGTAATATTCATATAAATTTGAAACCTTTTAATACAGTTTACATTGTTTAAATGATCGCTTATTTAAATGTTTTTTAGGAATGTTTGCCCATGTATATGTTACACATTTACGTAGTGAGACAACCGAAGATATTTTACCTAGTTTATTCACTATTTAAGCCTTTTTTGGAAGAAAATATTAGAAAATCAGTAAGTATTTTTTATTGTTTGATTAGTATTGTAGCTATTTATCCAGTTGTCTTTCTTAAATAAGCTTTACTATTGGCGATTCAAATTAATTTTCGCGCTCCTGTCATTTGTCACCTATAAGTAGGATGTTTGTTTATTTATGTTTATGTTTTGGGCAGATTTTGTATTTGTGATTTTTTTAACTGTTTTTAGATAATATTCTCATTGTACCTAATAGTGTTTTTGAGTTTCATTTAGTGTTAATTTAAGTTTAAGTCTCGTGCTTTCGTCATAAATATAATATTTATCATGTGTATGACTTAATTTGTTGGAAATATTCACCTATTGGTTGCTACAAAAACATCTAGAAATATGTATTTACTAAACCCAGGACATGTTTTATTATGTGGTTTAAAGGACATTTCAGATACCACAAGTTTATTATTGATGAACTTATTTAAAATTCTTACTAGACTTATTCTTATATTATGAAGTGACTTATGTAGTACTTTGTATACACGTAAATGGTAATAAAACCGTCACAAATCAGATCACAGTTTGATTCTAAACAAAGTTTTGCAAAATTTCAATATTGTGAATTTGTAGATATTAATTTATCGTAAAAAACAAAATTTTACGACTTGCACTTGGAAAATAATGAATACTTCAGTTTTGATTTTGACATTAACACCATATAGATTGCAATTTGCTGGGAATTTTTTCGCAGATTTCATTTTTAATATAAACACTATCACATACTATAAGAAATAAACAAATTTAAAGCTAAAAAGTAAGAAAAAACTCGAATTGTAATTGATACAAATTAAAATGTAAACAATGAACACGAACGCCAATGTTGCCAAATGATGAACTGATTTTAAAATAAAATTAATAAATGAACTGAAATTTAAAAAAATCAATATAATAAATCGGTTTTATAAAAAAATCTTTAAATGAATATAGAGTATGATTACATAAATTTTGATTCTTAAATAAAAGGTCTTATCCACTTCTTTAACAGCTAAAATCCGACGACGTAGCGAAATTTTGCTACTTCTGGCAACACTGAACGATATCCTACTTATAGGGACTTTCTACAAATTTCTTCCAGAGGGCGTGTCACTTAACTTGAATCGCGAATAATTCTACTATATTTTACCATATTTATACAATGTGTGTCATAAAGTTGGATCCATATAGGAATTTTTTTATAACGTCATATGTCATTAAAAACAAGTTTCTTTGATAAATTTAAAAAAAAGTGCAAATTTAATTTTACACTAATATCAGTAGTCAACTTTAATATGCACAGGTAATTGTCCTACGACGTTTTTTTTTCCAATCCTAATATTAAAGAATATTCCATTTGGATGCAACTATATGGCACACACTATATACTTACATACCACAGCATAAATCTTACATATTTTGATATAAAAACCATTTTATGACAGACTAGATTGTCTTTTTCAGTTTCCTTGAAATTTGGTTTTGCGAATTTTAACTAAATAGAGACGGCCATGTTGCTAATTTTCCACAAATTCCGAATGTTTCAGGAACTTTTACTATTTTAATCTTATCTGTTTTAGATTAAAATATGCGGATGGAATTTTGAGGTTTTGTTGGTGACCATTGGAAAAGATAATTTGCCAGTAGAATTGGATGGTCTTGGCGATGATTTGGATCCCAATAGGTGGTTAAAACTCTTTTACAAGAAAAAAAATCAAATATGTAAGTACATATAAAAAGTAAATTTTAATGCAAATGAATCTCATTATTATCAATGTCTATTTATGTCTCTTATAGATAATTATTACATGGCACACATGATTTTGTAAAAATAATTAGGAAATAACCACTTTGTGTTAATAGATAAAGAAATGAATCATTTGTGTTATCAGAAATATTAAATAAATAATTTCTTAATTAACAATAGTTGAGAAAGTGTATAGTTTTATGTTATAGTCGTAGAAAAAATTAATTAATAATTGTTTTATTTTGTAGATCTTCAAAAATTGGGTTACGAATTTTTCTGAAAAAATCAATAGTTATTCACCATTTTTTTCAAAAAACTACAAACCAATTCTCTAAGGACATAATATCATGTATTTTTGTTAATTTTTATTTTTATTTCATAATTATTTGTTACTTTTAGAACACATGTTTTTTAGAACACATGTTAGACGACTCGAATATTATTTATATACATTTTCTTTTTACATAATTAGCAATAATTACTCAATGTTGACAAAATAAAACTGCAGACCATTATCTGATATCTACGTATTTTCAATGTAATTAAATATTTATCGCGGATTATATTCCAATGTAATGAATTTTAATTTACGTACGAAAAAAAAAAATTGTATAAACTACGCCAATTTTCTTTGTTAAAAAAAAGCTAATAAAAAAAATAAATTACTTTATTGGTTTACTAAGGAATATATCTTTTATTTTTATATGTAAGAATTATTGAGCCCTTTTCTCCTAAGTTTTCGTCAACAGAAAATGTTTAAACCATAGGAACTAATACCCTTATAAGCACCTAGAAAATAGACACAAATAAATTTTTTTTGAGGAAATTATTTAGGTAGGTGCCATAGGAATTTTTTTAACAAATATTATATTAATGAATTACCTAAGTATACCTATTTAAATGCCGTTTATAAAACTTTAACAATAAACATCTTAATAGAACAAAAATATAACTATTGAACAATTAATTTAATTATTATATCTACTAGTTTACCCTTTAATCTCACGCTACTACCTATTACCAAATTCATAAAATATCTACAGGGTGAGTCGGGAGGAGCGCACCAAACTCTAGGAGTATATTATACACGTGAAAATAATGTAAAAAAACTCATATGTTCTTATCCCATTTTCATTTGTTTTCAAGTTATAGCATATTAACAAATAAACAAATTTACATAAAAAAATTCTCTTATTCATAGCGTTCTTTCAATAAATGTTCAAAAATACCGCCATTGACTTCTAAACATTTTCTGCTTCGTCTACGAAGAGCGTGTGTTGTTCTCCTAATTGATTCATTTCTTTCTTCTCTACACTGACAGTTCATCAAAACATCAGAATTATCAAATGCCTTTGAGCCTTGAATATATGGCATACTTTGATAATGTTAAAATTCAGAAGTGGAAAGCTAGATGAACATTTTTAATTACGCCATAACTTGAAAACAAATGAAAATCGGATAAGAACATATGAGTTTTTTACATTATTTTCACGTGTATAATATACTCCTAGAGTTTGGTGCGCTCCTCCCGACTTACCCTGTATATATTAAAACTTAACAAAATCTAATTCTGAAAATCTAAAATTAAATTAAATAATATAGCTATTTACTCAATAAACAACTTTGTTTGGTTCATTTTTGACGTCATCATAAATACACCGAATTTTAATTAATATTTTTTAGAGGTTATGTGTTTTGACATTTCAGTTTTATGATTTAAAACGGTGTTGTCAAAGCATCTAATGGCAATTTTTTGCTAGCCTCTTCTAACGGCTATTGCTATTTGAAAAAAAATTGATAACAAAAGTAAAAATAAAGAAAATGAGAATTCCAAGTAGCATTTTTCGTGGGCGGAACGTGGCTACCACGAATTTAGAAACTTTAGAGTGTATTGCCAAAGTTTCTGCCACGTAATAGACACGGTCCTACCACGTGGCGGTAACCAAAATGGGGAACACTTTATTGGTGGCAACCACGTTCCAGCCACGTTTCCGGATCTTATATAATCACGTTTACGCCACGTGACGAAAACGTGGCAAAAAAGTGGCGATAACGTGGCGAAAACGTGGCGGCACGGTGGCCGACACTAAACGCTGAACTTTGCTTACGCCCTTGTCTTTTGATTGATATTTGTAGCTGGGTCTCCGTCCTACAAATTATTTCTGCCATTATCCTTGCTTATTCTCTAACTTGACATAACTAGTAAACTAATAAGTAGGTACTTACTGAATAATAATAGTAATAATAATGTGCTATAAAAATATTGATTCAGGAATTTTGATAGGCAAAAAGTTGGAACTATTGGAAGTTTACTGTCAAATATAGGTGTTGTAGCTCGAAATATGGACACGCGCCATTGGAATACTTTATATTTAATTAAAAAGTTAAAATCTGTAAATTTTTCATCTTCGAAATTATTTATTTAGATGCCTTAAACAGTATTTTTTATCTTGGTTGATTAAAATCATTAAATATATTTGAATTTTATTGCATTGAAGCTATACGGACGATACATTTTTTTTTTAAATAGCGCCTTTATATTTTCTCATAATGGCGATCTTAAAAATGGTTACAAATATGTCTCAGAAAAAAAACTTTAAAGTTGCAGAAACTAGAAATATGCCACTTTGTAGTTATTTTCATCAAATAAGTGGCAGCTGGAACTAATCTAAAATATTTTTCACCACTTCAAAGTGGCGGTTACGTGTTTGCTACCATAAAGTTAATTATTTACATTGTTGCCAGATCAGCCATTTCTCCACTTATTTCAGAGTTTTTGAGTTGTTCAATAAGGCCAATGTCAGGGGGCAAAATTAAATTTACCTTATATTACAAATATGTCATCCATCAACCTAGATCAAGGTAATCTAAATTTAAAGCAATTTTATTCTTGAATAGCGTAAAACGGCTTAATCAAATATTAAGGTGCAGTATATTTGGAATCGCCATAGTAAAAAATATATAGGGTTCCCATTTTAATTCACAAAGTTGATACTTGTTAGTTACCTTTATGGTTACCGTTTGTTTATCTTAATAGTAATTTCTAGTAAAGCCTTATAACTTATGTATTTAACAATTTATTTTATCTCTTAATAAATGTTTTAAGTGCCGTTCTAAAAATAACTGAATACCCTGTACAAATATAGTGTAGGTACATTCAAGAAGATTATGGGAAAAATTTGTATACTACATCTTCTCAGGGTAATTGCGCTCTGATGATATCGCATCACTGTATTTGTTGTATTATTCCATATAACCTCAAAATTTACAGTAGATTTCGCCGGTTAAATTTGTTTATGTCACAGATCACTTAAATTTATGTATTTAATGTTTTATATTGTGTTTGTGTACACATCTTAGATTTAGATATCAGTTTTAAAATTGTATAGACTCAAGAAAAGAAAAGTTGTCGAATAGTAATCTTTTTGCGAGGCTTCTTGTTGTTTCTCATTTTACACACAAATGCACTCTAGATAAGTCTAAAAACAAAGTAATTTGCACACAGATCGACGACACTTTGGTAGTTTTTTCTTTAATGTAAAGGCGGACAATGTAGAGAGTAGGCCACTAATAGGCAACAGTTACTTCATTGTGAATTTTGAAGGTAATATTAACTTTGAAGTGGCTTTTGTTCCACGCAATATGTGAAAATCGCTTAAAATCGTGGCAAAAACGTGGCAAAAACTACTGCAATTATACAATCAAGTGCCGCCACTTTAAAGATATATTTATGGTTCCCGAAACGTTACTAATACAATCAAACCCACTTTAAGATTACTGTCACTTCTAGGTGGTATTTAACTGATATGATTTGGTGGCCGTAACTATTATTTTCCACATTCAAGTTTGTGCAACTTTAAAGTGGTCCTGCTTATTGGCTATGACGTTTCTAACATCTTCAGCGGCAACTAAATAATATAAAACTTTGAAGTGATTCCCAGTAGTGAAATACACGTGGCTACAACTGGGAAAATATAAAATGAAGTTATTCTCACTATATAGGGGTACATTTAGTGATTATTACGTAATAGTCACTTAATCGAAGTGACGATATAAGTTTCTGTCACTATAATGCTACTTGGGTAAAAACCGTTTTCCTCCTGGAAACAGCTACAACTTTGGCTAATGTTGCAACAGGTATTGAATTATAGCAAAAGAAAAACAACAGCGATAATAAATTACTTTTAACATTGAACTATATCAAAAGAAAATTGTATCTAGCGCCAGATTCTATTAGAGATTGGAATCTAGAATGTCTATTTCTTGCTGATGAGTCCTAATAAAGACAAAACTCAAGAATGACACGGTCTTCAAGTTTTTCTCATTTACTTTATTTTTATTTTTAAATTGATTATTTGAATTTATTTCCAATATAATGTCGCGCAAAAGCCTACCCTGTGCTTTATTTACTCCTTACCCGCGGTATGAAGTCTAGCAATATAGAGACAAACGCACCGCTTCTCGAAACTATCGGATTGATCCCTTTGCGGCGTATCAGTCATAGACAGGCAGTTTTCGATTGTTCTGGAATGACTAGAGAGTTCTAGTACAGAGTTGGCTTTATAGAAATAGCGCGAGTTATCGACGGACGGAAGAAAAGATAAATATAATAAATAAATTAGAAATATGAGTTATAATAGTGCCTAAGGATTATATAAATTAATTAGTACGTTATAAATAAATTGTAAATAGTGTGTTTTAGATAAATAAACTATGAATAAATTAAATAAACGTTAAACAGTGTTTTGAATTAATTAAAAATAAAAAAACTGGCACACGTTTTATGTGATAAAATATTGATGTAACATTTAATTTTGCTAATCGATTTTCCTGGTTAAATTCAACGAGTCCTTTGATATGAATAATTAATGGGAAATCATTCGATTATTTTTATGGATGCAAAATCTATATTTAATTAGGAAAACTACCTACTTGTTTTATGTAAATTATCGTTATTTTAATATTATTTTTTAAGCCTTTTACTAGTTCAAAGTTCTTATTATAAACGATTTTATGGTTGTCAAAATAATTAATTCATGGGTTTATTTAATTTTTTTTTAAATTTCAGGTGCAAACGTTATAAGGCATGTCCGTAAAAAAACTATTTTTTATAGTTGATTTTTATAGAGTGATCCACAATTTTTTTTTTAAAATAGGCCATGACCGACAAAGATAAATATACTAGTCATGTCCGTGATAACTACGCGCGACTCTGAATTAAATCCAAACTGACAATTAAAAAGAAAAAAAATTGTACTCTTCGACATGCATAAATTTTCCATGCCCTATTTTAAAAACATTTTTGTGGATCACTCTATATTTAAAATAATACAAATTAATAACCAGTCTTTACATAAAAAAGAGAATATTTCGAGAGCGAAATATAGATCAGTATGGCCGTGTTAGCGGTGGAAAAAAATTTAAGGACTGGATGAACGAAAATAATATGTGGACAAACGTTTGCAATAACTAGTTTTAATAAATTGCCAGTAGAAATACTTATATCAATAATTATTGTTCACATTTTGAGTTTTTATTTGTTAATAAATCATTTCTGTTAGATGGATAAATGAAAATAAGGCCTGAGCAAATGAAAATAATGTGTGGACAAACGATTGCCCTATTTAATTCGTATGAAATGTATTACGATTGTACCTAAAGACCATGTCCATTATTTTTTATTTTATTTTTTAAATATCTCAGTTTTGGGGGTGGACAAACGAAACTTTTGGTTGGTCAAACGTGGGCATACGAATGCCACTTTAAAATTATCAAAAAGTTTTTATGGCGGTGCTGATGTGAAATTTGGCTCAAATTTTTAATTTTGCTATAACTTTTTTTTGAATAGTGGACAGACAAAAATTTTTTTGGACAATCGTGAATAAACGAATGCAAAATTATTTTTATAAAAATTCGCATTTGACGGAGCTAATTTCACGGATCTTTATATTTTTGTGTGAGAACATATTTCTAATTAAAATTTTTTATTTATCCTCTAAAACCAGCTTTAAATTCAAAATCATCAGCTACAATAATGTCGTTTTCTTGTGAGCTGTTATACATGTATTCCTATAGCTAAGAGTTATGATAGATTCATACCAACCAACAGTTCACTTAACGTATACGTTACATTCATGAAAATTACTGAGACCCCTACCAAATAAATCCTAAAAAATGTTTGAAAGTCTTTTAAAAGATTGTATTTGAATACCTAGTTATTTATTGTAAGTGAAAGTAATAAGTGAAAATACCTTCTAGTTTTTATTTTTTCTGGACGAGGGGTAATAAAAATTCAGGACATACGGTATAAATTCTGGACATTTTTATTAATGCAAAAACAACAACAAACTTAAATAAACAATCCGCCAAAAAATACGAAGTGATAAAAAACAAGGATTCTTTGGGTAAATAGCAATTAACGATTAAACATCTCATTTGAAAAGGACATGAACCTAAAAAGAAAATAAAAAGAACATAAAAAAGAACATAAAAAGAACATAAATAAAACATAAAAAGAACATAAAAAGAACATAAAAAGAACATAAAAAGAACATAAAAAGAACATAAAAAGAACATAAAAAGAACATAAAAAGAACATAAAAAGAACATAAAAAGAACATAAAAAGAACATAAAAAGAACATAAAAAGAACATAAAAAGAACATAAAAAGAACATAAAAAGAACATAAAAAGAACATAAAAAGAACATAAAAAGAACATAAAAAGAACATAAAAAGAACATAAAACAACATAAAAACAACATAAAAAGAACATAAAACAACATAAAAACAACATAAAAAGAACATAAAAACAACATAAAAAGAACATAAAAAGAACATAAAAAGAACATAAAAAGAACATAAAAAGAACATAAAAAGAACATAAAAAGAACATAAAAAGAACATAAAAAGAACATAAAAAGAACATAAAAAGAACATAAAAAGAACATAAAAAGAACATAAAAAGAACATAAAAAGAACATAAAAAGAACATAAAAAGAACATAAAAAGAACATAAAAAGAACATAAAAAGAACATAAAAAGAACATAAAAAGAACATAAAAAGAACATAAAAAGAACATAAAAAGAACATAAAAAGAACATAAAAAGAACATAAAAAGAACATAAAAAGAACATAAAAAGAACATAAAAAGAACATAAAAAGAACATAAAAAGAACATAAAAAGAACATAAAAAGAACATAAAAAGAACATAAAAAGAACATAAAAAGAACATAAAAAGAACATAAAAAGAACATAAAAAGAACATAAAAAGAACATAAAAAGAACATAAAAAGAACATAAAAAGAACATAAAAAGAACATAAAAAGAACATAAAAAGAACATAAAAAGAACATAAAAAGAACATAAAAAGAACATAAAAAGAACATAAAAAGAACATAAAAAGAACATAAAAAGAACATAAAAAGAACATAAAAAGAACATAAAAAGAACATAAAAAGAACATAAAAAGAATATAAAAAGAACATAAAAAGAACATAAAAAGAACATAAAAAGAACATAAAAAGAACATAAAAAGAACATAAAAAGAACATAAAAAGAACATAAAAAGAACATAAAAAGAACATAAAAAGAACATAAAAAGAACATAAAAAGAACATAAAAAGAACATAAAAAGAACATAAAAAGAACATAAAAAGAACATAAAAAGAACATAAAAAGAACATAAAAAGAACATAAAAAGAACATAAAAAGAACATAAAAAGAACATAAAAAGAACATAAAAAGAACATAAAAAGAACATAAAAAGAACATAAAAAGAACATATAAAGAATAGAAAAAGTTACAGCTACTTAAAAGTGTCCTACGTTTAAAATCATATTTTTATCACTTTTTGCAGCTACTATTAATTTGCCAATGTGACTATAGAATATAAGAAATTGGAGATCGTTTGGAACACTGAAATTAAGTACAATAAGCGTCCTGCAATAGGCTGTTGCAGGACACTGGACAATGCAACCCAAATGGTGGACGTCCACCGAAATGCAGGACGGTTGGCCTAGTTTTAAGATGAAATAAACATGTGCCTATGAAAACAGAATGGTGGAGAAGCAAAACGTGGACTTTACAAAAAGGACCCAAATATTATTTTTACAGGATAAAGAGGTCAAATATTTGTATTTATGTTTCATTCATAGAACGTTTTGTGCTTGCTGGGCAGTAGCAATATTATATGGTAATAAATTAAATTTTTGTATAAATACATACTATCAATATCAATCATATTTCCCCTTTTCCTAAGTAAAAAAAATAAAGTTATAAAAGAAGTTGAGACAAGCAACACAGACAACACACCAAATCCCAGAGATATCCACAGAATATCTTTTGTGGATATCCAATATATCCACAGGATATCAGAAATATTCCGTGGATCTAATATGGATATCCAAATGTCCGTCTATATCCAGAATATAGAAGATATCATATGGATATCCAGCAAAATATCTAATGAATATCTTCCAGACAATACAAGAAATCCCAGAGATATCCACAGAATATATTCTGTGGATATCCAATATAGATATCCAACCAAATGTCCGTCTATATCCCAGGATATAGAAAAATTCGGATATTCAGCAAAATATTTTATAGGTATCTTTAGTAGAGGTTCATAAGTAACCAATGATTATTGAATAAAGTCGAAAGAAAATAGCAGAGATAAAAAATATTTTCAACACTCAAAATACTTTCAACACTCTGCCTTTGATTTTGCCCATTAAGGAGAAAGTTGTCCTTATTAGGACTCTTCGCCAATATATGGAAATTCTCGACTCCAGTCTCTAATGGAGTCTGATTGTGAAACAAATTTCGATCGAACTCAATTACGGCGGGTTGAGCATGAGTAGATGCGAAAGTAGTATCGCCATCTATACTTAGTAAGCAAAATCAAAAATTATATCTAGTGGATATCCACGATGGTTTGCGTTCGCGCCTAGACTTTGATATATTTAGTGGATGTCCATGGGATATTGAATACACCTTAAAAAAATTAATTTTAAATATCTGAATGGTACTATTAGCCACAATTGCGAGCACAGGCGTAATTTTTTAATAATTTGCTATATAATTACTATTATTTATGGACATTTGCATGTCTATAAATTACAGCTCATGGATATAAAATAGATATCCACCATGGTCTGGACATTCAGAGGATATTGGGATGTTCAGTAGATATCCAAAGGATTTGGTGTGCTGTCTGGGAAAGAATTACAAGGGAAACCAATCTTCTTGTTTAAGGGCCCATCAAGACATTTTTTTGGACACACAAAACTAAGCCTAATTTTATTTATAAATATACTTTACTTTTGTACACAATTTATTTTTAATTAAGTCAAAGGCAAAGATGGCAAATTTTAAGTGAGGGAAATAGGGTCCGATTACAATTAGAAGAACACAGCTACGTCATTATTTGGAAAAGTATTGAATTGCTTGTCGCCGCCTACTGGGGGTTTAGTGGAATATTAATATTATAGGAATATAGGAAATAACTTACTTATTTTTACTTATTGATAGTTATAGATAATATGTATTCGAAATTCAAAGTAATGGTTATGACGTAGCTGTGTTCTTCTAATTATAAACGGATCCTACCTTATTTTTTATTAGATTTTGGATCTAATCTTGGGTTTGTTGGCTACAGTTTGTTCAAGCTATAGAAACATGTTACTGGATTACTTTTTACCTGTTCTCTGTTAATTCATCATTCTCCTTTTAATTTATAAATCCTTGCCCTCTCCCCATTTTCTATTTTTTCTTTATATTTTTTTGTTCGAGAGGTGAGACATACAGTATAGTTTTTATACCGTTAAAAACAATCTGGTCGAACAATTACGCTTACAAAAATTAATGTAAGTACATGCGAAACACGCACCAACTTGCAGTACACACCGAAAGAATAAAGTTTCGCGTAATATCAACTTTTGCAACGCGGTTGTTATAAAAAAATTATTCTCAGTGATACACGAATCAATCAAGGTTAGAAACCTGCGGAATTATTTATTATTATTATTCCATTTACTTTTGAGAAATCAGAATGGAATTCTAAATCGCAAATTTATTGTTAGCGTCGATTTAATAAAATGCCTGACAGAAAAGAAATTGAAAACGGAGAAGTGGATAAGGAACGATGCATTGCTGAATTGCGAAAATTAATGCAAGGTAAGCTTTTATCAAAACTTACACTTTTAATCTAATATTATTAACCTGATATCATTAAATCGAATTAATGTAAATTTACAAAATAAATATTAATTTATTTAGTGAAAAATCCGTTTCAAATCTCCGAAAATCTATCGGTTATTCATCCGAAAACAAAGTTATATAAATTATTTGTTCGCGGACAGTATTTTTCAAATTTTTCCAAAGTCAAACGTTTCGGACATATTTATGATCTCCAGTAAAAGTGTCCTGGTTTGAAAATTTCCTATAGATCTACAAACTGTTTATTTCCTTTCATTTGATAATGTTAGATTTGAAAATATGTTAATACCATGGCGGTGATCTCATCTCAAGTTCAAGGATAGCAATATGCATTTGTAGTTCGAAATTTATAAGTACTTATAACATTATAAAAGGAACAGATCAAAGCAAGGACAAGTTTTAAATTTGAATTCTATATTTTTTATGTCTTGTTTATTTTTAATAAATGGAATTAGTCCCATCAAATTTACTGTTACAAAAAGATATATTTTTTGTTCTCGATTTCAACGAGATCTATATCGTCTCCAAATAAATGGATTGCACTACAACTTCGTCCACAAAAGTTTATTATTCTACATTTACTATACTTCGATAATCCTTAATAATTCTGATCACCCAGGAATTTGAGGGTCTGAATACCAATTCACTACCTCATGAGAGATCTCCTTCACGACTAGTGTTTCCAGATGACCAAAAGCTAATTAATTAACAATGCTGTAGAAATTATCGTATTTTTCATGATTTTATCGTAACAAAACTGACCTTACTAGTGTGACGTTGTCGAAGGCTGGTTAATTTAAGAGTTGTTAGGGTTAGGGTAATTTGAAAATAACAAATATTTTAAACTATCCCTTTTAATGGACATCTCACCAAAACTTATATATTCTACATAAAGATAATCTAGCTTTCCAGTTTGAAGAAAAAATAACTAACATCAGCAATTCTCCATTTTAACGCCCTGTATCTCGAAAACTAGTCATAGTATCGGATTTATAATTGTTCACACCTCTTAAAACGGAGTTAAATTTATTATATACTGAGAAAATTGTTATATTTGTGCTTTTAATAAAATAGAATATCTTCCGACAAATAAGGCTCCTTGTATATTTTGAAGCTTAGAGGTACATATATTTTAGTGATAGTACCTTTCCCAAAGTACAGTGTTTTGAATAAATGAATAAAATGGGTATCGAATGATTTAACTTCCCGTTTACCTCTATACAGTAACATCGATTACCATCGTTTCCTTTATAACAAAAGTGACACTATACAAAAAAATTACAAAATAATATTAAAAGTTAAATGTCTGTTGTTAATTTTTATGTGTAATAAAACTATATTTCTGTTTCTTTTTGACTAGCTTTGTACATTTTCCGTATGTATGTAAGTGCAATAAACTATTGTTAAACTAAACTATTATTATGTCACTTTTGTTTTCAAGGTGCGAATAGTATGTCATAGAAGCATGGGCGCCGTTACACAATTCTATAGGGAGGGGCAAAATTTTGAAAAATTTAGAATGTTTATTTGTTGAAAAACAAAGAAAATGAAAAATAAAAGAGAATTTTCTTTTGATGGATTTAATTATTCTGTGACGTCATGGCTTACTTCCGGTTTTTTCAGAAATAACAGAAAATCACAATTTATTTTTTATTTTTAAATGAAAACCCTTTTTCTTATTGAAAATTTGAATTTCTGGGACATTTTTGTATAAAAAGCGTGTATTGACAATTTTCTGTCAGTAACATATTAAAAAAAATATTTTCCAATATGATGGTCATTTTGACAGCTGACAGAAAATTTTCAACACATGATTCTTATCCATAAATGTCCATGAGATTCAAATTTTCAATAAAAACGGGGGTTTCTATTTAAAATTTAAAAATAAATTGACATTTTCTGTTTTTTTCCTTTAAAACAGAAGTAAGCCATGGAGTCACACACCAATTGAATCGAGTATATGAGAGTATTTATCCCAAGCTTTTAAACAAATAAGTTTTTATTCCAATATCTCAATTAACAACGAAGATAAAAGCGGATGGAATTATTAAACGGTTTGCTAATAATAAAAATGCTTAGATACGCCACTGGTATATACAGTAAATGGGTCTCAATGGGAATTTTGAAGCCTTAAAAGATTTTATACAGTTATTATGTATTATGTTAATTTTAATAAAAGTATATGGATTTGTAAAACAATTATAATTATTATATATCTTTATTACTTCAGCTAAAAAAAAGTAGTATAATCAATAAAAATCAATAATAAAACAGGCAGGTATTTACGAGAAAATGTATGAAATCTTGCCTAAGCCTAATAAGGTGTCATTGAAGAATAGGTTAAATAATGTCAAAATGAAAACATTACCATTATATAATAGCGTAGAATTAAAACGTATTAACAAAAATAATTGGTATATTTGTGATTATAATTTATATTTTCTTCATTTTTAGTTCGAAAGAACCCATAGAAATTAATGATTAAAACTGGTTTCCTATCAATAAGTCACAAGATTGCATTTCAGCCATATACAATAATCAAATGCAAAAATCTAATCATTTGCTAAACATTTAAGATTTAAGGAATGTTGAAGAATATCATAAAATAATAATTTATTGTTTATTTAAAACCTTTTCTGTATTACTGTTATTATTACAAAAATAAAGGTTTTTTCTTCTTATTTTATAGCTGTCCATTTATTTCTTTGATTTAATTTTGATTTTGCTACTGAAAATTTATATAATTTACAGTTTTTTTGCTAGTATAATTTGCAACATAGCAACTCCGGTTGCTCATTTTATTGCTTTTAATCTATTTTTTTAGTAAAAAAAATACGTGTGGCACTCGGGGAGTGCCACGGTAAAGCTATTGCATAGCATTTTTTATCAACTTATGCAATTATAGTTATTTATTTATTTTATTTTTGCAGTATTTTTTTTCTTTGATATTAATTCGTTTTTTCTTTGATATTAATTCAAGTTACACTTTTTGAGCGTGGTGACCGATAAGAAAACAATTTTTTTTCTTTTATTGAATAAATGAGAAGTTAATATTGTTTAAAATATTTTTATTATCTTACAATACATGTAGGTTATTCAGGAATTTTTATCATTGAAACTATAGGTTTATGGTAACTGAAATAAGAAACATAAGTTTGAGACTTGATATCCTCTAAATATCTGGAAAATGCCGCGTCAATGGTGGTCCTATATTTTGTTGTGGATTCTTGTGGATCATTATTCATTTTCAAATTCAATTTTTCCGAAATTGTGTCTAAAAGAGATAAAATCAGTTATGAGCAGTTAGCAGCTAGTCTACACGCATACGTCTAGTCGCACGCACACAAACACCGTGCCGAAGTCTGCTGAACTGAAACGATGTTAGAGGATGCACGGCTTTCAACGCCGCACCGCTGTGCCGGTCGGAGTGGGGGGGGGGGTGTTACGTTTATTTTCGTTACGGAATTTCTTTTCCGATTTTTCGATTAATATTGTTTAACGCCACACCGCTGTGCCGGTCGGAGTGGGGGGTGTTAGGTTTTTTTTCGTTACGGAATGTCTCGATTCGGTCGCCGCGCTCAAAGCCCATGATAAAAGCTATGCAATAGCTTAAAAGTAAAATGTATACGTGTATTTGATGCGTCAAAATTACAAAATATCGCCCTAAAGTACTCGAATTATCCGCAACTTGCGGTAGTATCGCTTTTGCTTCCCCTACCATGACTTCGCACTGATCGAATAGACCGCAGCCATGTTTTAACATGCCTTAGCGTCATGGGCGAAGTTAAGGGGGGGCTTGGCGGGGCTAAGCCCCCCCAAAAACCAAATTAGCCCCCCCAAAAATAATTAGAACATTTATCGCACATCCACCTAAACATTTCAGAACAGAAATTAAAAAATAAAAAGAATCGTGCCATTTGATTGATTCTGCAATTTTACATTTAGTTCAGGAGGCAGTGAATTTTTTTCGTATTCATTTTTCCAGTCGGTGTTAATGAAAAATAAACTGTTCTCTTAGTGACAAAAAACAAAATTTTTGAGTCTGACACTTATTTTCCCAGTCATAACTATTTTACATTTACTAAACTAGAATCTAAAGCTTATAAAAATAGCAGTTTGGATTATCTCAGATAGTGGAAAGTGAGTGTGGCAGAAAATTGAGCATATAAATTGATACAATCATGAACTGTTTATAATAATAAGTCTGGCTGATTTACGAAATTGGCTAATGAGTCTGGTAATATCTTCTAAATGGAAAAAATATAATATTTTTGCTTTTATTTTCCCGGGTTTGAAAATTTGTCACGTGATAGATTAAATTATAATTTTACACCTCCATTTTATAGCCAATCAACTGCTGTTATTTTAAAACACTTTCATGACAACCAGAAAAATTTCCGAAAATGTTTCTTTTGGTGGGTACCCTGAACGAAATTATACTGAACATTTTTTTGACAGTTGAGCAGCTCTTTCATGCATATAAAAAATTTGCCATTTCAGTGGTTAATATTTTATTTAATACCAATTATAACTAGGTTGAAATACACTACATTTATTTTATGTAAAATAATAATTAGGTTTTTCGCGTCAACTAAACGACTTCAAATATGACAAATGGTCATGGTATGGTCACAGCATATTCTGTGGTATGGATACCTTTAAAAATTTGATTTTAGTCGTTTTAATGCATGTCTGTCAAGTTTTAAAATTTGGATATTTTGGTGTAAAACTTTCTTACCCAATACCAAACGTGCCTAAATTATTATCAGTAAATTTTTGCACACTCACGCATAACTTAAGAACATTATCCATCTACTTAGGATAAATTTCAAAATATTCGTAAGTGAAAATACACGTCTGGCTGACAATTACAATTACAGAGGCCTGCCAGACTCACAAGTAGTGTCCGACCGAAGGTTCGGTTACGGTTTCGGCCAACTTTGGCTTTCAATAATAGTTTCGACTACAGTTTCGGTTTCGGCGGAACACTGGCCGAAACTGCAGCCGACAGCGAAACTACTTTTAAAAGTTTTCGTATCACAATTGGTTGTGTCCGGCGCAATGGCGACTGTGCCGGGTGCCATTCCTACACAGTACACGACCACGTACACACAAACTTCTCTGCTTTGTTTCAAGTAAACATGTCAATAAATGTATTAATGACTTCTTTTGATCACATAAATAAACAGGTAATAAGTAAATGTAGCTAAAATTTATAATACGAGTTAATTAGTCTAAAACAAGGATTACAATGAGATATTGCAAATTTCAATAAGAGATTGCCTTAAAAGAAAGTTCTTGTTTCTATTTCGGCCGAAACTAAGAAAGGAGCCAAAATTTGGTTTCTGTTTCGGTTATAAAACCGTATTTCGGTCGGACCTGACAAGCCAGGTAGTTAAACGAGGAGAGGAATAGTAATCGAACGTGCCGAATTTAGCGCGCCAGACGGTCATTAGACGAGTTTGGCAAGGCTTTCGGGGTGTTCCACATTAGCCAGATTGTATTTTAAGCTGTTATCATAATATACATTTTTCTAGTAGTGAGAACACTTGTAACAGGGATCCTTACTGGACATTGCCAACTAAAATTACACCTTAGTAAACTGAGAGTAGTAGAAGATAGTGCAGATTTTGTGAGGAGGAGGAAAACATCTTCATTCACATTCTAACTAAATGTGTAGCACTTGAGAATCCAAGGGCACTATACCTAGGAGCATATCAAATAGAAGAGGGAGATTTACTTAACTTGAAGCCACTCCAAATCCTTCACTTCCTTGAGAAGGTATAATTGGAAGGATCTTTATTCGCGATTCAAGCTAAGTGTTACGCCCTCTGGAGGAAATTTGTAGAAGGTCCCTATAAGTGGGATATCGTTCAGTGTTGCCAGAAGTAGCAAAATTTCTCTACGTCGTCGGATTTTAGCTCTTGAAGAAGTGGATAAGACCTTTTATTTAAGAATCAAAATTTGTGTATAGTAATATGTAATCATACTCTATATTTATTTAAGGACTTTTTTGGCAACGAGTTCATTGTTTACATTTTAATTTGTATCAATTACAATTCGAGTTTTTCTTACTTTTTAGCTTTAAATTTGTTTATTTCTTATAGTATGTAATAGTGTTTATGTTAAAAATGAAATCTGCGAAAAAGTCCCCAGCAAATTGCAATCTATATGGTGTTAATGTCAAAATCAAAACTGAAATATTCATTATTTTCCAAATGCAAGTCGTAAAATTTAGTTTTTTACCATAAATGGATATCTACAAATTCACAATATTGAAATTTTGCAAAACTTTGTTTAGAATCGATATATGATATTTTATCCATTTTCATCGATTCGCCAGAATTTTTTTACTTAACTTCAGTAGGTATACCTCTAGAACTATTATATATTATATGGCTAGGGCTTTAGCCCCCCCAGATCTGATGACATAACTTCGCCCATGCTTAGCGTGCTAAACGCTCTTTCGATTAAATCTGTCGTTGGAGGAAGAGCCATAAATAATTTTTAAACCACTTTGTATAGTCCAGGATCCGTAAGTAAGATCGACCTTCACCCATCTGTTTAATGGATAAAAATTATTTTTTATTAAATAAAATATGTTTTTAAATATACCGCAAATGGGTTGCCTAAGAAAATACGGTAAAGGCCATTTTTTACTTTCCTCTCTGTATACAGATAAGGAATAATAATTTGAGATATTTGATGAAAAGTGCAAATTTAGAATTTTGAAGATAACTCAAAAACGGATGAAGAAAAAAACACCAATTTTTTAACTGTCGTTTTTTTTACTTTAAGAAAATAAATAGTCTGGACCGAATTTTCGTAGGCAACCCATTTGCGGTATATTTAAAAACATATTTTATTTAGTAAAAAGAAAGTTTCATCCATTAAACGGATGGGTGAAGGTCGACCTTATTTCGGATCTTAGACTAGTATGTCTGGATAAAATTCACAACGTTTGGACGCTATATCATTAATGGAGAGCTCATTGTGTGCAGAAAGCTCTTTCGTACTTAAAATTGTCGATTCCAAATTTTTACACTACTTTCATTTTCTAATCGGTAGTGAAAAAAGTATTTTTTTATGTTTTTGGGATGTAACAGGCTTAAGGAAAAACTAACAGAGTCTTCGGAAAAGCGTGATGTAAGTGACATAAGGGAATCCAGATATGCAATAAATATATTCAACCTATAATATTCTTCAACTATATTAGCCTGAATATTATTATTATAAGATTGTTGTTCGTAAAGCATATCTTACCCGCTGTTGATTAAGTCGTAAAAGCCAGGGGGAGGGGGCAACTGCCCCCCTTGCCCCCCATGCATAGAAGGCAGAGGTTTTTTAGGCAGAGCTTAGCAACCATACATCAAAAATAACATTTCGGACTCTATTTAGGTATTTCAGAACGTTTATGAACCAAACGACACGTGTTTTAATAAAAAGACATTGTTTGGTACATCAAATAATATTCAAATAGGCTTAGAACAGTTAATTTTTTTATTATTCCCTTTTATACTTTACCCCATACAATGTAGTTTTAGCCTAATTTAACCGTTTAGATATCACTGGAGGCCGAAGAAATCATTGTTAAAGTTGAACATTTTATGTCCCTTATGTCCCGTGACGTGTACAAATAAATCCAAAGAAATTAAATTTTGTTGCCAAATGTCTACTTTTATTTTCCTATTAATCCATCTCTCTGTGTATTGTAAAAGAACAATTATAATTGTTCTTTGGTAAATAATTATTTACCAAAGAATTATACATTTTACGATTTTAATTTTTGAAATTGAATTTTTTTTTTATTTTTTTCAGACCAGGAACTTCTTAAAAATGTAAAAAGTGACGACCCGTATTTAGAAAGATTCTTGATAGCCACAGATTATAAAGTCCAGGCAGCTCTTGAGAAAGTAAGTTACTCTTTAATTCAGTTTCGTATGTTTCCTAAAAATAATTTATTTTCTTATAGATGCTAGAGTTCTACAGTATTTTAGCAAAATATCCACGTTGGTTTACTACAGAACGTCCAACTGAAAAAAAGGACATAATAGACAGAGATATACGTATTTTACTAGGGAAGAAAGACAAAGAAGGAAGACCCATATATATAGTAAAATTAGGTAAATTAGCTTCATGTTATATGTATGCTTTGGTATTGATTTTCAGCGCCACTTTAGAAATCATATTTGGCTAATTCTCAAAAAAAAAATCGAAAATGGCTTTAAAAAACTTGTCAAATTATTTTTAACAAAACATATTTTCTTCATCCGTTCGCTCTAGCGTATGTTATCGAGGCCAATGTTAAAAACTACAAAAAACTTGAAGTGGGACTTTGTAGGTCTTTTAATTTCGCTCCAATCAAACTGTTTCGAAACGGTGAGGGAATGATAGATTTTTCAAGGACAAATTTTGAATTATATTTAAAAATATTTCCATTCGCATTTTTAAAACTATGAACTCATGTAGGTACAGTCAATACTATCCTACATAAGTAAAAAATAAGATAACAAACAATTAGTAAGGAATTTTACATTTTAAGTTAATAATTATCTTCGAATTTAGCAGTTGGGACATAGTGAGGGAATAGGGAATGATTTTCAGGGTACTTTCTTGGACATATCTTTTTTGTTTATCATGTAAGAAATAAATTTGTTTAATAAATTCGTAGTTTTAATAAAAAAACTTCTCATAATTGACGATCCTGGTTTATAGAAATCATTAATGACATCATTTTCAATTTTTTTTAAGAATCAGCCATTTACAAATAATTTTGGATTTGATACCGTTTTTAATTTATGACATCTATTTATCTCAGAATTTAAAAAGTTATGCTTCTAGAGGTTTGTTCCAACAGCATTAGAGAACCGTTCGGAATTTATCAGCGCATGCGTAGTACGAAAAATAAATTCGTAACGGTTGTATACTACTGTTGGAATAAACCTCAAATTTTATCTAATAACCACAGTTCTCAGCTGTAGAGCGTTGTTTTTCTTTTATATTAAAAACTGTTTCTCTAATATTTACCGACATAGAGTGGGTCAAAGTTTATGCGTCATTTTGTTTTCAAAATATCTCGTTAAGGTTGTTCTACCGCTTTGCATTCGGTCGAAGTTGAGAGGTACCTCATCCATTTCATATATCTTTGTTTGTGTAGAGACAATTAGGCATTCCAACGACCTGTCAAACAATAGGTGCCAGTGGGAAATTCTTGTATATTTAAGGGGGTAGCGACATGGTCTTGCAACTTGGACGCCATTTTTATTCGAAGTAGTACTCGCCAAGCCTGCCAATTTATGAAGAAATGTATAGGTGGGTTTTTTAAATATTATTTTTATTGTGTTTGATATAAAATATTTAAATGTAATCCATTATTCATGATTTTACGTAAAGTAGATAAAATACACCATATGTCGCCACCCTTAGATATACCAAACCTGCCCACTGGTAATTTATTTGTTTGGAATGCCTAATTGTACGTGTAATACGCCTATCTTTCTCGGTATTCAACTCTACTTGAAACGCGGACTGGCCAAGTTTGTCTGTATATTGTAACAACTATTGTGTTAATAGTAATTTCTTTGCAGATAATATTTTAATTTATTACTTAGATGACGGATTCGAAAGTTTTCTTTCTTATTTATTGATTAACGTTTTTTTGAGGGTCATCTAGTGCAATTATTTTTTAAATAAATGATTAACTACATTTAAATTGATTTTATTAATATTCTAAGGTGAAATAGTAAAGGATTTTTATACATATAATTATTGATCGTATTTTTTTGTAAATAAACATTATTGTTGTTATTATTACTAATATTCGATAATATACACTTGGTATCCGCGCAAGCTTTGGATGGCTTTATTTATGGTATATTTAAAGTAAAGAACTGATTTTTGGAAAGTGCTTTAATATACAGAGGTACATAATATAAAATATTTCTTTTTTTAAACAAAATCGCATCAATCTCACAATTAATTTGTAGTGTAGAAGAAACATTTTTTAAAAACTATATTATCTTACGCATATATATTTTATTGTACATAATATATATATGATTTGTTTTAATTTCATAAAAAAATATAATGTATTGGTTTTATCTTTTCTTCGTTCACTGAAAGTAAAAATAGGTCAAAATAAATAAATACTTGAATTAAAAAAAAAAAACTTTAATTACCTATTATTTTTATTTCACATAACAAAATACAATCCCAAAAAAAATAAATTACATCAATTTCTTCTTACAATTTTTTTTATTGAATATTTTAAATAAAAATTAACTAACTTTGGTTCAGCACTTAACCAAAAATTGTCATCTCTCTCAATTTTCTCAACGAACATTCCAAACTATAAAATAACAATGCTTGGCCAATTGTCCTTGTACCTGTTAATATTAATTATCCTTTTTTTTTAATTTAATTTGGCCATCTGTATTGGCTAGATAGTTATTTTTTTTTCTTGAATTTCCATTTGGAACAAGATTATGATTTAATTTCAATTATTTCATTATTACGGAATTACTTCATCCAGAATACTATTATCAGAGAAGTTTCTAGTATCAAAGATCTTGGAATTACCCTCGATTCTAATTTAAACTTTGGCATTCATGTAGAAAATATTGTCCAAAAATCATTAAGAACCTTAGGATTTACTCTCAGAAATACAAAAATTTTTCTAATGCTAAGTCTATTTTAATATTATATTTTAAGATTTAATTGATCGTTTTTGTTTTAATGATTAATAGTTTATATTTTATTCAAGCCACTGGATTTTTTTAAATAAAATAATACATCTTTTATTCAAATATAAACATTCACAAAATTAAACACTTAATCACTTCTTATAAAATGTATTAATACCAAGAAAGTTATTATTAATTAAAATTTAGAGAGCGTCAAACGTGTGCATAGGAACACACGTCAATCATAAGTGTCTTTTTGATTTTTCCGTCTGCTACTCCTCGAGTGCGTATGTGTGTGTATCCAATATCGCTTAGGCAGTGGCGGCGTCTTGAATATTGCACGAATCTAACAATATAACTGAATGGTTAGAAGCACTCTTGAATATGGGTCAACTTTATGGTCACCTTGTTATTATAAATACATCAGTCGGATAGAAGGAGTTCAAAGAAAACTAATAAAACATTTAAATTATCGATTTAATAAAAATATAATTCTTGAATCATATGATTTTAGCTTACGACATTTCAAAATAAATGAACTTGTTTCAAGGAGAGTTGTTGCTCGTCTTATATTTCTTTACAAACTCATAAACAACAAAATTTACTTTGTGTATACACTAGAAAACTTAAACTTTTACGCGAAAAATCACACATCTCGCCCAACTAATCTTTTTTATTATAACTCATCGTTAACAAACTATTGTAACAACTCTCCGGTAACAAGACTGCAATACTACTACAATCAATATTTTGGCCACCTTGATCTGGCTTATGTTTCTCTGTACACACTAAGGCATGCTGCTTTTTCGGTTCTCTCGTGACGTACCTCCTATTTAGCATTGTAAAAAACACTCGAAATGGCCGCAACAAGAATCGTACCTTAAAGTAAAAAAAAAAAAATAAAAAAAAAATTAAAAAAATAAAAATAAATAAGCAAAAAATAAAATGATAAAACTAAACATGTATATTATCAAAATGCTAAATCTATTAAATCATCAACTAAACCTGCGCTTTAAATATTAATATACTGTTGTCACTTTTTTAATTATTGTTAATTTCAGTATTAAGTTAGTATGATGTACTGATCATGAAAATGTGCAATTTATTTTTCGTGTAACCTTATAATTGGGCATTTATTTGCTTGATAGGTTGCCAAATTTATAAATAAATAAATTATTAATAATGCCGTCTGGACTTGCTCCCAAATATGTTTTACATGAATAAATAAATAATCCACCATTTTTCCATATTTATTTTTAAATTCTTCTATTGCAATAGATTCATGATCTTGTTCCCATTTTGTAGCGACTGGTCCTTAAAAAGATGAAAGTAATGTTATTAACAGTCTCTTTTGGATCTGTTGTTTGAAGCCGTGAGCATATTACTACGATGTTCTTTCCACAAATCATTACTGGCCTGTTCTCTAGTAGATACTTTAATTCTACAAATATCATCTATTGATTTTGGTAAACTATCCAAAAATTGCAGTTTTTTTTGTTCCAAAATATCGTCATCATCATCGCATTGAAGTCCGTAGTCTCCATCTTTAAGTGCGCCACTTATCCGTTTTTTTAATTGAGGGCCCCTGGCTTTTCTACTACATCTACGTTTGCTCATTTGAATAACCAATCTTTGTGTGCGAATCCCAGGTACACTTTTTGACAGCTTTTTATAAAGAGTGGGGATATAGATCTCTTTTTTATTAAAAGAAATAGCTGCAGCTGTACACCGAACATTATATCCTCATTTTACTGCATAATTAATTCTCAGTAAATCCTAGATAACCTAATAAAAAGACCATGTAGAAAACTTGCAGATCATTCAGATTTCTATAATTATTTCTCAACGTCAATATTTAGTTTTTAAAGCTGTAAAGTTGTCAAAAAATGAGCAAAAATATCTGATGTGTCCAACAAATAAAATATATCACACGATATATCGAGTCGGTGGCGTAGCGATCTCACGCGCTTATAATCATTTATAGGCAAGTTTGTGGTCAGAGATAGAGAGGGGCTTCGAATCCTACACCAGACCACGTGGATTTTTAATTATATTGCATGATTCGTTATAAGATTTGATGTATTGTATTAATAGAAATTCAATTTCTGCTAATAGGTGGTGCGTGAGGTTTTCCTGGTTTTCCTTACCTGTAGCACCATCAATCAAATAGCACCATCAATCATTTTTAAGTCCTATATCAGAGCCTTGAGGAACACCACTTAGTACTGAATATTCTGAGAATGTTTTTCCAACTTTGACATTGAATATCGTCGGCCTAAGATATGCAAATGATCTAACTCCTAAAATATAAATGAAGAGGTTGAGTGGTGTGTACACACTGGGTAATAAGAAATGAATGTAACGTATTTAAAGTTTGTAGGTAGTTTTATTAATATTAATAAAACTCAGTAAAATTAGTCTTAGCGCTTTCAGCCGGTTAGGCCATCATCAGAGACTTTGTCAGTAAATATAGAAGGTGCATGAAAATTAATTATTTAAAATTTTATTTATTAGATTCAAAGGGCTGCCACAATACGGTCCCTGGTTCTCAACCAAGTTATGGTTACATAAAATTCAGATTTATTAAGGAGGGGATTGATACTTTGAAGGAGAGGATCTTATGTATTTGAATAGTTTTTTAGGAATATTACTATTGATATTTATTTCATATTCTCTAGCTTTGTCAATAGTATTGATTAAATTTAATTAACAAAATAAATATATGTCTTTGGGTTATTTTAAATTTTTTCAATGACTTTTCTTGTACATAATTAAAGTTAAAAATTGTGTATCGGTCCAAGGTTTTAATTTGTTTCGAGATTATTCTTTGTTTCTTGTGTTGGCATCTATGATTTGTGAAATAGTATCCACATTCCAATCAATTCTGGAGAGATCTATCCTTACGATATTAAAGTTTGTAACGATGTAGATTATGCACATACAGAGATTGAGAGTTTTTAATTTACATTGCATTATAATACCATTAGATTTCCTAATAAGCGGGTGAGTAAAAGTTGGTCATTTGTTAAGTCTAGAATTGATGGGTCTTGATTTAAACGAAAACGAGTAGGTGCCTTAATAAGTTGTTCAAAATTGGAGTTTAGAATAAAATTTAGTTTTAGTAAAATTATATTTTTGGGTCAAAAAAGCAAAAACAATAGTTTTAGTCTAGTATTTTTTGCATTTTTCAATGTAGCATAGTGACCCAATAAGATAAATTGCAGAAAATATTGTTAACTACAACTTTTTTATGAAATATTTTCTACTACGACTCACCCTTCCTGCAAAAAAATTATTTAAAAAAATTTCAAAAAATTGGTTTTTGAGCATTATTTATGGTCACCAAATTTATAGTCACGTGATAATGTTTGGTGAATAAAGATAAAATGTATCTTGTATTAATTGAAATTGCCACAATTTCACATGCAGCAAGGAAAATTACAAATTTACCTGTTTATATTTAATATTACATTACATGGCCTTTACAATATAGAGAGGTGTATACAAATGTACTTTTCTACATCTCTTGATTTACTTAAACTCTATAGGACGAAATAATCTTGGAAGCCATGGCGGCAATTCTAGATTTGGATTTTGACGCGCCTGAGCCAACTTTGGAATCAGCTTCGATTTCCGCTTCCGTTTCGTAAAAACTTTTATTTTTTAATAGAAATACAGCTAAAGTTTTTATGGGGCTAACAGGTCTGACACGTTCAACGTGTGCTATTCCGTTAATCAAAGCTGGCACCAAAGTACTCTCCAGGTACATCTTCGTCGGTAGGCAGAGCAAATCGGCGTAGGATTTCCTCTCGATGTTATTAGGGCTTTCCATTTTCAGAGCCATTCTGACTGTTTTTCTGATCGACCTAGCACCCGCTAGCTGACATACCTCGTTGGCGATTTCTTTTTCGGTGAAGTGCTGTTCATTGGGCGAAGCATCGAGGAAGTTGCTTTCGGTCGACCGAGGCCTGGGGGCGAATTGAAACGAAGGATCCCTCTCCATAAGAAAGAAAAAACAAAGTATAATAAAAATATTTTGCTATAACATTGACAGTTAATTAAATTCATGTTGCATCAAGTCAGTAGAAAAACAATTTTCGTTGACAGAACTTAAATCGTAATGGCAAATGAGCTAGGTGGCCAATTGCGATTTAGGACAAAGGACAAAAATAAAGGAGAAGAATCATAATAGTGGTGTATCCGTGGGTGTATCCCAAAAAAAATTAATATCTAATATTTATGCCAGCCGGGAACATTTGCGGAATTTCTTGATTCGGTCGCCGCGCTCAGCCCGCGATAAAAGCCATGCAATAGCTTAATATTATTAAAAAAACCCGCTTATACATTTTTTCATAATTTGGCAGGCTTGTCGACTACTATTTCGAATAAAAATAGCATCCAAGATGCAAGGCGTAACGCTACCCCCTTAGATATACGAGAACTTCCCAGTGACAGCTATTGTTTGACAGGTTGTTACAAATTTTGAACCCCTACATGCTGGGCGCCATGATAATTGAGTTTTAAGGTGGCACTACTGACAAGGCAGGATCGGCGCAAGAAGATATAAGAAAAGAAAGGAGTAATTTTTCATGTAAAACTTTTCACAAATATGTATCTTGTCAATAAATAAGTTTTTTATGCTTTTTTTTAATACCACAACAAAACATTTTTGGAATTATTGGTTGCCAGTTTTAAAGGGGCCATTGATAAAATGAGGAAAACAGGAAAATTGCAAAAAACACTGGCTCTTCGAGGCATTCTAAAATTTATCTGTCTTGATAATATTGAAATTTAGTTTAAAAAATAACATTCACAAATTTAATTGGGAAAATAATAATCGTCGTGTAGTCGTGCAATCGTGTAGTCGTGCAGTCGTGACTTGTTTTGTTTTATATATTTTAAAATACAATTTCAACTTGTATGAAATATTTAGGATTTATATTATTGTAATTCGTTCAACTTAAAGCAAATATCGTCTTCTCGCACTTAGTTTGTAAATAACTATTGTTACGCATGAGAATAAATCCCGGAGTAATATACCGTGTCAACTAATAATATACAGCAGTCTCATTAAGAATAGGACATAGAGCAACTCAAGATTCTCTGATTAAAAATAAGACGATTAAACGAAACATGCTTAGGTAAAATGTTACTCGTTTTCGAAATACAGGGTGTTATAGTTGAAAACTCCCAAATTATTAATGGTTAGGTATAATTTTTTTATTACTCGTTATAATTTTACTATATTCGACAAACGTTTTGATGTCATAAGATACATTTATCAGCAAAAAAATCAATCCCTTCTAAATTTTACGAAACTCATTAAAAACTTATTTGGACTGTAATTAAAAATTTGATATTTTTTTATTTCAAGATTTCTAAATTCCTAAATTTAATTTTTTTCTTAGTTAACAATAGTAAGTAAAAGTTGAAAGGGGGATACCTTAGGGGTAGTCTCATATAAATTTTGACAAGATCTGGTGATGGGATCTATGAGAAAATCAGCAAACTCAAATAAAAAATGGCATCTGTACGATTTTGGAGTCTGTTTTTTTAAAATTACTTTCATATATTGTTTTTATTATATGCTTGCCTTGAAAATCGTCTTCTATATGAACCTTTTGAACTTTTGTCTTCCTGAGTAAGTTTTAAATTCGGAGTAGGCCTTCCTTCCTAAAGATTTAATGACATTTTTAGCCAGCGAAAACGCCGTATTTGTCCAGCAAAATGTTGTATTTGTGTAGCAAATCGTAATAATTATTGTCCAGCAATCAGCAAAATAATACATAATTTACTGAAAAAAAAGGTATTTTGGTTTTCTGGTCTCTACAACTTCTTTTCTGATTTTGTGATTTTTCTTTGGGTTGCGGAGCTAAAAAAAGGGTCCTCTTGCCTTATATGACTTTTTTTGTTTTTGCGGTTTAACTTTGGGTTGAAGAGCTTAAAAAAAGTCTTCGCCTTTCGCGTCCAGCATTGGGTCAAAGGAAATATGATCTCCCTATTCAAACCTAAATATTCACACTGCATATTAAGTTAGGTTGAAAAGGTCATTGTAATAGTTTTAGATAATGTTTCTCAAGTAATTTGTTCTTCAATTTTGAAAAACGTTTAAAAGCCATTTCAAACCAGAATGAAAATATAAATGCTTGGCATTCTATCTATATGATACTCTTCGCACAGTTAAACAAACCTCTTTTTAATCCCCCCTTTTTAAACAGGTTTTTTTTTTAAAAATCAATAGGCTTCGTCCCATTGTAGAGCTTAATTTTGTCTGAAAATTTCAAGTTGATATTGTTTTTCGTTTTTGTTTTATGATTTTTTCATTTTTTTCATTTTTAATAAGATTTTTCAAAATTAATAAGCTTTGTCCCCTTATAGAGCTTGAGTTTTAATAAAAATGTCATGTTGATATCGCTTTTCGTTGTTGATTTATTTTTTTAAATTTCAGCCCCCTTAAAACCATCTATTTTTATCAGATTTTTTTTAAATCAATAAGCTTCGTCCCATTGTAAAGCTTGATTTTTCCTAAAAATTTCAAGTTGATATTGTTTTTAGTTTTTGTTTTATGATTTTTTTTTTTTAAGTTTTAACCCCCATTCAATAAACTTCGTACACTTATAGAGATTGACTTTTCCTGAAAATTTTAAGTTCATATCATTTTTTGTTTTTGACTTATCGTGCGGATATGAAGACTATTAATCGTCGAAAACAACAAATAAATACAACAGTAGAATAATATCAAAATCAAAAATGCAACAAAATTACATTGTATGATAGTTACCTCTTTTATTGCTTCCCGGTTTTCCGTTAAAAATTGGACAGCATGGTGGTTTTTTTTATTCGACCATCCCTTCCTCCAAAAGTAGGGAGGGGGTGATCTATTGTGGCTCCTCGGAGTTTTCTTGCTGGAGGTCATCGATTGCCATTTTTTCTAGTTCGACGTCCTCCACTGTTGGCCTAAATTGGGGAGGGGGGGGGGCGAGGGTCCTTTACCAAGTAGTCTTCACTGTGCTCCGCTTCAGCCTCTTTTTCGACCTCTGGCCTTATAGACAGTGAGGTGAACGCATAGCTCATCCTCATTGATTTGGTCATTAGGGTTCCCATGGTTTCGTCTCCGATGACAAAGAGATGGCCCTTGGGGTCTTTTTATTTCATGGTGGAAGGTTCACCATTTTGCCACCTGTAAGTTTGGGTTTTGCCCCTCAAGTCGCCTTAGCACAACCTCCTTCTCGTCAAGGTCAGCTTGCGCTTCCCCTGGGACCCAGAAAGAGGCTTTGGTGAGCTTGGGGAGCTCGGCCATCTTTACTACAGCGAGTGTTGCTCTTTCGGATGTTTTTAAGGTTGGTACCTTGGTTTTTAGCCATTCCAACGTCAGGTCATCGTCGCATGTTACTCTGATGATTTCACCAGAGTGCGTCCAAGACCTGAATATGGGTGGCTTGGTTTTGCTGCAGGAGGCGGACAAAATTGTTTTGTCCAGCTCTCCCATCAGTGTCTTTTTGACAAGGATTGCTTTTTCGGTAGTTATTTTACCGTAAGGGTTATCCTTGTCTATTATAGCTACTTTTAGGTGGCTCGTAGCTGCATCCTTGTAGCTTTTTCCAGACAGAACTTTGTGGTCCTGTCTGGGTTTTTTCACATTCTGGGGCGTTACTTCGGAAGAGGTGTGGTATCGCGGCCTTTTCTTGTCCCTAGTTGCGTCGTGTTCCTGGTCTCTTGTGGAGGCAGAACTAGAGTCGCTGCCTAAGGACTTGATTAAGCCGCTTTTGTTTATTTTGGAGTGAGGGAGTTTGCTGCGGGTGGCGGTTGCCGTAGCACTGTCTGCCTGCAGCTTATCCCTCTTCCTCCTCTTTGCTTCAGACCCAGAGATTCTCTTGCCTCTCCGGGGCCTGTTATCTATAGGACTATAACAAGTAATTTCTCTCATTTTAATTATTCAATTACTTAACATAAAAACTCCTTTGCCCTTTAAGTTAATTTACCTGCTATTTATTTCGAAAGATACACTCTTTTTCTCTAAGAGTAGGCTTCAAATATGGTATTTTCTAATTCATTAAGGGCCGATTTCACCGTTGTGTTAAACGAAGTTTAAATTACTAAGCAAAGTTTAAAATGACATGTTTACATTAACAATGTCATTTTAATCTTCTCTTAAAAATTTAAACTTCGTTTAACACAACGGTGGAATCGGCCCTAAACCCTCTTGATACTATTATAATAGCTTCAACTTCACCTTGTATATTTTAGGTAATATGGACCCATCAATAATGGACCTCGTGGAAGACGTAGTTGCCGTTGACGATTTTTTCGTGGAAACTTTATTTTTATTAAATTCGGGTATCGAGAACGGTCTCTGTGTGGTCATAGACATTTCAAATTTCTCCCTCAAGTTAACAAGATGGTTAACGCCGTCCAACATCAACGTGGCAGTTAAAAGAATTCTTAGCATGCCTATAAAAGAATTCAAATATCACGTAATAAATAGTTCTTTGATGATTCACGTTGGAATACGGATTTTATGGCCTTTTTTGCCGAAAATGATCAAAGACAATGTAAGTTTGATGGAGCTTTAATAGCTATTTATAAAACCAGTTACGAAATGCCTTATTTTAAGTAACGAGGGAATATTTGGTAAAAAAAAATACTGAAATCTAGGCAATCAATATTACTACTTTCTTGTATTGTTAGTTGCATATGATTAACTTCATTCTTTTATTGACAAATAGAAAATAATATTCATTTATCCTCAACGACTTATTGTAGTGTGTTTATATTGCTTAATAAAGTTATTTAGATTTCAAGAAAGTGGGTTATTTTATCACTCTATATGTCAAAATTATAAAAAACAATTTTAACATAAATGTATAGGTTATTATTGTTTATTCATTTTAGGTGAAATTTCACTTCAGCGACTTGGAAGCATTCTACCAATACGTAGATAAAGATGTATTGCCCGAAGAATATGGCGGAAAAATAAAATTTGATTACAGCAAACAACATTCACTGATTTACGATAGAAATGATCAAATATTTGAACATTTTAAAACTGATAGATTAAAGTTTTTAGAAAATGTTAATTCTGACATTACAAAAACTGATTAATACGAAATAATGTATTACTAGTATTTAGGTAGTTTATTTTTATTATAACCCCCGTACCTTTTGATACTTCATAAACACGCACTTGTTAACATTTATTATTATGTATAATCAATGCCATCTTTTACAATAAAATCGTTTTTACTAGAATCACATCTTTATTTTATTTAATTTGATAATTATGTACACATTTCTTGCTAATGGTTTATCTTTTAACACGTTACAACTGATGAGACTTCAAAAAATGTCCTGAGAGAGGTGATTCATCTGAATAACCAGCGATTTCTTGAGGTATTACTGCGCTTTCTTCTACACCAGTACAAGGTCTGCACATACATTCTAATGGCGCTTTTGTAGTGACCTGAAATTATACAATAATTAACTAGAATAAAATGACATTCTATAATACTCTTCACAGTTTAACAGGGGGGCCTTTTAACCCTTTATTTTCAATCAGATTTTTTTCAGAAACAATTTGATATTGTTTTTTGTTTCTGAGTTAGGATTTTTCCCATTTTTATTTATTTATTCATTTTCTTATAGAGCTTGATTTTTGATTATAATTTTTTTTATTTTAACTCCCTTAACACCTCATTTTTAATTAGATTTTTCAAAATCAATAGGCTTTGTACCCTTATAGAATTTCAAGTTGATAACATTTTTAGTTTTTGGGTTTATGATTTTTTTAATAATTCAACCCCCTTAACCCCCTCATTTTTATTCATATTTTTTTCACAATAGGCTTCGTTCTCTTATTATTGAGCTTGATTTTTCCTGAAATTTTTAAATTGATATCGACACAGACTACTGTGTGAAGAGTATAATAAAATAATAAAAGTTGATTTAAATGTTTTTAAAAAATTTTAATATTTGTTATTGCCATCTATGACAATAAAGCGTAAACTATTTAAAAATAATACATCATCGCCATCTATGAATACAAAAAACAATTCTTAAAAATATACTACTGGCTCTATCTATGGATTAATTGTATAAGTTTAAATATGAAGTAGGTAATGACATAACCGGAAATAAGTTTTGATATAGAGAAAAAGTTAAAAAAAAGGATGTGTGAAGATATATTGAAATTGAACAAAGATGGAGGCAAAAAAATGAAAATATTAATTTTTTATAGCTGTCAAGCTAGACAAAAGTGACAAGTGACACATTTATAGTTCAAGGTTGATTTTTGTTGCTTTCCTTCTGCATTTTGACATATTTATATTTGACTGACGTGATATTTGGTGATGGTGATTGATCCTGTTTAGGCTGTTTACAGTGTAATTTATCAAATTTCTATCTGATTTTCATCTTGTTGAATGGTAAATTTCGAAGATTAATTTTGATTTAAGGACTTAAAGGTAAGGTTATATTTGGTATGTAGAAAATTAAACAAACCTTTATGAATTTTCGTTCGCCTGGTTTTGCTTTGGGACAAAATAGAGATACCGAAGCTTCTCGTTCCCCTGATTCTTGGCAACACATACAAGACCTCTCCATTTGCCAAATTTTGCTGCCCGATACCTACAACAAACGTTTGGATTATTTAATAGATGTGTACATTGTTTTATTTTTATGCTTCGTTTAAAGCTACAAATTATAGCAGTGGCTTCGTAAACACGTTCATTATTTTACTATATGTATATTAAAAAGTCGAAAAATTAAGGGATCATTAAAAATCATCCTATTTTTAGTTTCTAATATTGATGGTGTTTGTGTCAAAAACTGTTGATGTGCTTTCTCTCTAACAATGTATTCAAGTAAATGTTAAATTTTCAAACACAAGTACTTAGGTACCTAGGAAAATATTTACTCTATGAAAATGCATTTGAAAAATAATACAGAAAGGAGAATGTAGAGGGGTAAAACTTTTCTGCTTCCCCTGCTGAATGCATCTCTTTACATTAATTGACATTTTTTAATAAAATACATTGTGTCTCAGTATGGGCCTTTACAGGGGGGGGAGGGGCGCCCCCTGTATTTTCTAATATAGGCCTAAAAAATCTTATTGGGAAAAACAAGGAACTGCACACAATATTTTCGATTCAGTGTAAAAGAGAAAAATTGTAAAATAATTCAAAGTCCTGAAGAATTATTGAATACCTAAGTTCCCAGTTCATACTGAATTTCATATGACCAAAGACAAACTGACCAGACTGAAGAAAAATGAACCTCGATCTGGCAATAAGCAACCAGTAGCAATGGGGGTCAAATTTGTTGAACTTGTTGAGTTGTCACCAAGTTATTCTGAGTTATCCTGAGGATAACTTGAATAATAATAACAATAATAGAGGCTAATGGCCATAGTAGTCGACGCCGATGACACCAAATTAAAAAAAAAAAAAAATAATAATGAATCAGATGACAATTCCCTTTTTTAGGAGAAAATCAAATGGGACAAATAATCATAGATTAGATACTTTTTTGTTGTATGTGAATTGTCAAAGTTTAACTGCACATTTTGAAGAAATTAAAAATTTTATTAATAAAAATCCACTGATAGTTTGCCTGTCAGAAACGTATTTAACTTCAGATATATATAATAATGAAATAAATATTAACAGTTATATAATATGTAGAGCTGATAGTAACAGTCGACATACTGGGGGAGTTATCCTCTATGTGAATTAGATATTACAAATTTTAGATATTAAGAAAGTAAATTTATTTCAGTAAATCTCTTACATAATAACAAAAAGTTTATGATAGTATGCCTTTATAGATCTCCTAGTACTGGAATGAATTTGTTTCTAGACTTTTTTGATGAATTGTGTGAGCTGAATTTAACTGATGCTAACTTAGAAGTTTGGTTGGGGATTTCAATATTGATTGGTATAGTAATTCAACTTATTCAAAAAGATTAAAAAATATTGTTACTGATACAGGTTTTAAGAATGTGGTAAAATAATTTACACATGTAAATACTCATGGAGGATCATTAATTGATTTAATTATTACAAACTCAGGCATTATAACTGAAGGAATAGACACCCCAAAAATCAGTAGTCACAGAAATATTATTGCAAAACTAAACAAACAAAAAAAAAACAGAAAAGGGAAATGATAGTTATTGAAAGTAGAGGTAGGTTTATTGATTATACAATAATTAATAATAATCTAAAATATATTACATGGAATTATTGGTTACATGATATTAATGAAAAATATAGATTTTTTTAAAATAAAATTTTGAAAGTTGTCAATGAAGTGGCGTCAAAAAAACAAGTTAAAATTTTACCATATCAGAACTGGTGGAATGATCAGGTTAGAGCTCTTACTACATGAAAAAAGCAAATACTTGGAAACTATAATAGATTTAACCCTTTAACAGCGGGTTGCAACAACGATCGTTAAATATCTAATGACTCGTTAAACCCAAATCTTTTACTAAAGGTGTAGTACGGGTTGCATTCTTCTGTTAATTTATAACGACGACGTGAACTGACAACGTCGCTTTCTCTGTCAGCTCTGATCGTCATTTACTTTGACAGATTGAAATCTTTACTGATTAATATTTTAGAATTTTTCAATTTTCCAGCCAATTTATGTGAGTGTCGAGAGGTACTTTGAATATATATTATAAAAGTTCAATTTGAGTTCGTTTAGTTGAAGTATTATAATGGTTGACAAAAAAAAAACGCAAGCAATTTACTGCTACAGATAGAAGAAAAACCACTTGGTAAGTAAATTAATAATAAGTACATAAAATTCCTTCAAAAACATTCACTTTATTACATACTTAATTTGTATTTCCAACTACATTTTTGGGGTTAAAATTTTAGGTAAATTGCTAAGAAGTTGTATTGGCCAAAATACTAATTAGGAATAACTAGCTTTTATTAAATATAAAACTGATACAAGGAAATCTAAAAGTGAGATACAACAAAAAGAAAACTAAACTTTACAAGAGGTTAAATAGAAGGAGAGACAGGACAAGGTTCGTATTTTTTTGTCTCATTCAAAGGACACTTATTATACATAACATTTGTATATTCATAATATTTGTACACCCACCCTTCTGGGACAGTAACATTAATATACTTACCTTCTATATAGAATATTGTGCCTTCTTAGTAATAAAAGAAAACGTTTATTTAAAATCAAATTAAAAATTTATTTAAAGTTAATTTTCTAAGCAAAGTACCTATAATAATGTTATTTAACAGAAATTTTATATTTTAAAAGATTAATTCATAGGATTTTAATTTAAACAGAAATTAAATCACTTTTATATATACAATATAAAACTTCTTTTGTATGTGTTATTATTTATACAATTTTAGCAATATCTGTCTTTTTCCATTTTAAAGATTATTCAAACTACTAAAGTTAAAAAAAAAATAAAATTGGATATAACTAATGTTTAGTATTATTTTTGTTTATTTAAATTCTTTCCTTATTTGTTTAAGGGTGAAAAACGAGAAGGAGGCATGGTTAATCTTCAACTTGATGAGATGGGCTCAAATTAAAGCATTTTTTTATAATCAAATAGAGTCCCCATTGATTCCACTGCTGCATTCTTTGGTAAGAAAGTATTTTATTTATTTTATTTAAACTTAGCTGTTTTATTATACATGGTGGTCAAAATTCGACGCATTTACATGATACAACTAGATGTCGAAACCTTATAACCCACCATTCTCAACTTTTTTGAGAAATAAAACATGAAATGCTTAGTTATGTTATAAATCCATTTTAGAAGCTATAGGGTGATTTTCTAATTTTATCATAATTTATTATCTCAAATAAATATCTTATTTTCAAAAACAATTAATTAATTTGACATAGTTACATATGTAAAATCCATTGTCATACTCTTATTATTTTTTCAAGGGGTACAAATTTTCAAGGTAATACCATTTACCATTTTTTATTTGAACACCCAAACAAAATAATTATATTTTAAAAATCACGCTTACATTTTACTTAGGGGAGGAATTTATAACGGGATATAAAATAACATGTTTAGTTTTAAAAAAAGGTGAGATCAAATGTGCTTTATCCCCTGCTAATTTAGTAATATCTTATAAACCTGTCAAATTTGGACCATCCTGTATAATTATCACAAATACTTTGTATGTTGGTAAGAAAATTAGTGCAATATGAAGACAAATTTGGAATTGAAGGGAACTTTTACATATTTTAGTAAAGTATAACTGTAGGTTTAATTAGGTTCTTGCATTGCAATAAATAATTACACGAGTCCTAGTTAACTGCAGCTAAATATCATCGTTGAATCTCTATGTAGGTTCGAGTTATAACTTCTTCAATGATGAATTTCCTATAAATTTTGTTATATCATTATATTTCGGAACATACTTTTAAGAGCTCTAGAATAATATATATTTATTTATTATTCTGTAGGTGCACGAATCAATAATTGATATGCCTCTTTTCAGTGGAGTCTCCGTAGCTGCTTCTCCTAGTAGTCTCTTCCTCCCAAGGAATCTACTAAACCCTTGCCTGGTCCAAGTAGACTCTTCCGGTCCCCCTGCACAGACTCTCAAGCAAAACCATACATTTAAAAAAGGAAAACTTTGTAACAACAAAATTAAAAATATTGTTGTATGGACCACTAATCTTGAAACAAGACAGACTTGGCTCACAAATAAAACTTTAAAATATCTATACTGCCCCAGTAACTACACAAACTATAGAATGAAGATATATTCAATAAAAGAAATTTATTAGTGCCAGTATTTTGATATGTGTTACCAATATAGCTGCTTTTGTTGAATTATAGACAAGTTTTGAATAATGGTTTTAACTAGTTATATAAATAAGTGTGATTTAATGTTTTGGGTTGAGTTTTGATAAGAATTCTCTAGAAAAAAGTTAGTTACATTGTAGAATCAAGTTGACTTTTTAAGATACAGAATAAAAATTGCTGGTATTTTGTTTACTTTTTAAAAAGAAGAATGGGTTAGTATCAGAATGGTCAAATAACCTCAAATATTTGTAATTTGTCAGTTATGGGGGTTTGGCTTATGACGGAGGTATAGCCTTGTAGCAATATATTTTTATTTTTAAATAGGCATTACTTTGTAGTAATATAGGTGTTTGCTAAGTATTTTAAAATATTTCATGAGATGATAGCATGATTAATTTTAAGTCATATAACTGTGGAGCTTGGTATCTCTACTTATATTGTTAAACACTTTTTAATTCGTATGTTATGTATTTATACATTCTCAACCATATTTAATATTATTTTATAGTTTTATCCTGCCTATTTTCAGAAAAAGTAAATATTTAGCAGTAAACTACTATCAGTAATAACATTTTTATTGTTTGTACCTATGTTGAAATAATCCATTTCTTTTTATACATTTATTAAATATGTGGAACTGGCTAAGTAGACATATCCAATACGTTAGGCAAACTGTAAATTTTAACACAAAATTACTAGTCAACTTGAAACCTGTCATAACCAAAAAGAAATCCTGAATTGAATGTTTATTTTCTAGAATTAGAATTCTTAATAATGATGGGCAAATTAAATGTATTTTTATTTATTGTAGATT